GGCAACTGCCCTATCTGCCGCAGCTGCGGCCCGACCGGCCCCACACCAGACTCAGGAGCCCACATACTCGGCGGGTGCCCCCACCCAACCATGAAGGGCATGTACATCAACCGGCATAACCAAGCGACGCGCACTATTGCCGACTGCGTCAACGAGGGCCACCACGGTGGTGGCTTCATGATTATGGACGCCGGTAAAGAAGAGGATCTCCCGCCGTACTGCAGTGGGACGCGCGTCCCCAAATGGATGCTGCCACACTTAGCGGACGAAGAAATCCGCCGCCTCCGCCCAGACATCCTGTTCATCCCCGACCTCCCCGCGCACAGAACCAAGCGCAAACGGTACCAGGGGCCGGAGTGCAAATCCAAGCACGATGTTTACATTGTTGAAGTGGGCTACACCAGTGACCTGCAGCACTCCGACAAACTCGAACAGAAAACCGCACAGCATGCACGGCTAACAGAGGAACTCACGAAAGCAGGCTGGACGGTGCACTACACCGAGGCGCAAATTGTCACCCTGGGAAGTACTGGGACTCTAACCAACACACTAAAACCGCTACTATGCAGACTCGGCTCGTCCGCTGAGCAGGCCCAGAAGACCTGCCTGCACCTCCACCGGCAAACAATCGAAGCAGCGGGCACGATTATCCGGGCGCGGCGAGTAATGGAGGGTACAGTCAAGTAACCGGTACAACCCGAACGGTCTCCCACGGTGGTGCGGGCATACAGGAGCGGCTACGCCGCCCCTCAGTTCCCCACCCCCTTAACACACGCCAGGCCCCGGCCGGCGTACTATTATTATTATTATTATTATTATTATTATTAAATGAAACGCGATGTGGGTCAGCGTTGCTTGCTTGGGACGAAGTTTGGCGGCTGTTTTCTTGTTTGTTAATAATTGTTTCCTGCGCACTCAACCTGAAGCGTTCGGGGCGAGGAGGGGATGAACTAATAGAGGGTTTCATGATGAGAAGAAGGAAAGGAGGGCGTTTAGGGTTTGACGAGTCTGTGTTGGGAACACTTAGAGGGAGCTTACACGCTGGTAAGAAAGCACTGACTGTTAGCCCTGGACGCGGCCTGGTTGTCTGCTTGGCCTTGGAAGTCTGATGTTACGCGTTGCTTGCCACTTCCGTTGCCGTACACAGGGTTCCCACCGCCGCCGGCGTCGTTCCTGCTGCCGCCTGCTCCACAATGAAGAGCAGCGGCGCGGAACAATTGCCCCGTCCGTCCGCCCGCCGGCGCGCGCGCATCTGCGCTTCCGCGACAGAGCATGTGCACGTCAAACCAGAAGGACGGTTCGTACGGTATGTATTTGTACATATCTTCAACTGGCTCACGGCTCACGGCCCCGCGCACAGGGTCCTGACCTTGTACTTGACTGTACGCACGCTGCCCAGCGCCGACGCCGAACCACCTACTCTACCGGTCGGGTGAAATGGAGCGCTGACGATACAATACATGCATACACGACTGTTTCATTGCGCACTGTGCACCGTCACGTGACGTGCGTGTCTTCTCCTGATTATCCTGTTATAGATGCGGTATGATGAGCTGCCTCCATGATGCATGTTCCGTTCTGTACACTATTCCCGAACATGGCGCCTGAGGGTTCGAGGGCGTCTTACTGGTAGGGTAGCCCAAAGGTTTAGACTTTTTAGAAAAGTTATCACATCTCAATCTCATTACATCTCATTAGTCCTATTAGATTGGTTTAGAATCTCATCTAAGGATTTGGCTCTTTCTCAAAAACTCAATCAATCTTCATGAAACATGGTAAATGTGTTCCTTGTAGTTATATTCTATTGTAAATAATATTTGGGACGCATGGACCCATGGGTCCAGCAACGACGGACGGAAATTTTTATTTTAAATCCTGGCTGTCTTATGTGCTATAACGCACATCTTGTACGCTCGCACATCACACCCAGTCCGAGGAGACATGCAGGAGGGAAAGCAAACAACCATGTCTGTACGGCACAAGAAGAGCCTTAGGCCAAAGCAAGTCACAAGCCTGGGTCCTAAACAGAGGGCTGCCCATGAACGCTAATCGGTTTTCCAGCCGACAAGGCCACCGTCCGTATCGTACTCGCTGTTCATTTTGGCTTGGACCTCGGCATGAATATCATCCAAAATCCTGCCACTGAGCAGCTTGCGGCTCCAAATCTTAATGCCAATAGCTGCGCAAGCCTTCACGAGGTCAACATGCTCAATGAGGGGACCCATAGGGCCAGATGCTTGAAGAAGGTGGCAATCTGACCAGCAGAAGCAAAGAAATTATGAATCGAGCTGCAATCCTCGGAGAGTAAGCGCGGGGAAAGCTTTCAACCTCTGTGGGTTCTGGGTCGTCCACTGGTGTGGAGGGAGGCGGAGGCGTTTGAGGAGGCTTAAATGCTGTGGATGGGTGGCACTCGTTGATGTGCTTGGGCGCTACGGTTGAGGGATTCGTTGCGCTGAACTCCTTGCCACAGCAGCACTGAATCTTCACATCGTTGTTCATATTGTTTCCGGACAAACGACAAAACGAGCTCCAGGGGATGGTAACTAAACATTTCTAAAATTTCCTAATGTCGTACACTACATAACGGCCTAACTGTCATCTAATGAGCCCAAATCGACTATCTAATTTGTAAATAGAATACTCAATTAGATTTCTAGCTTTAAAATCCAAACTTTAGATGAGATCCAACCCTACTTACTGGTGACCACAAGTCGCTGGTTCGATCCTACCTCATTGCGAGGATTATGGGGTCCTGCGGGGCCCCTGGTGTGGGAAAGCAGCTCCGGCTGCCACGGCTCTTCAGTTGTGTCCGAGCCCCCCGCACTGGTAGAATCTAACGAGGTTAAATGTCTATCAATGATGCGTCTGGCATGTTTGGAGCAGAGCAAGTGGGTTACCTGGGTATGATCCGAGTGAGAGGGGCCCCAGATGCGGAGGGGTGGGAAATCCAAACCATCCAAGTCAAAAAATGGTGCCACAGGGGTAGCGGACGGAAGAGAGCTAACCCTGCTCGGAGCTGGCTGCTCCCTAGGGCCCAGCGTAATACTGACGCTAGGGCCCAGCGTAATACTTTTGTCCTTTCTTCCCTGTGCGCTTATTATTATTCACTAGGTAAGTTGTGGGCTGGAGCTGTCATCGCACACCACAGCATGCGGCATGCATGTGGCTAGCCAGCCGGCTGTGGCGGGGTGGTGGATGGATGGAGAGAATGCGTGTGCAGTTGGGCTGAATAGATGACAGCCCAACACTTTGGTTTAGGCCTCGCACAATTATTCATTAATTTATTGGGCCTTTTCACACTGCTGTAGGTAGCCATTCATGGGTGTTGGGGCTGTAAGTGTGTGTACCTTCGGGCTGGAAGTGCACGATACCCCCCTCCGGCATCACTTGACCCCAGCCATGCATATGCAGAGGAGTAAGAGAAGGCACGAAGTCGCCAGCAAGGGCGGCATAATCCCATGGATACTATCAGAACATTCATCATCGATTACAATAGGATTATCCATTGCTGCAAGAAATGCTTGCTTGTCCAGACATGCAGCAGGACTATTGAGTTATTCCCCTTCTTACCTTTCTCCCTGTGCACCTATCGTCGGCCTGTGTGCCTGGAACTAAGGAAGTGGACATGGTTATCAGTTGCTGGCGCGATTGACTCCATGGATAGGGGCGTAAGCTCTATAACCTCTCATCATCACCACCTGCAGTCCTTATCTACACACAAATGCGCTCAAATACGCTGAAGAGTTGCCCCGCATGTGAGCAGCAGCGGATGTATGGAAAGGGAATGGATCATCGAAAAACGCCACCCGATAAATGCCAGCACACGCTGCTTGATTGCATTCCTTGAACCGATACCGGCAGCAACGTTCGCATGTTTATCTAGCTCCGCCCATTGTGCAGTCGACAGAGCCAACATGGAGTGGATTTGCGTGCTGATGAAGGCAGCCCACCTCACTGCGCACACAAGCCAAGATAATGCCTGTTCGGGATGCTAATGGACCATGCAATGAATGCTTTGAATAATCGCCTTGTGACTTTTGCAACCCACATACGCATTGATCACGTAGGTTTGCTTAGGAAATGATCATCACGTTCATCATCAATCATTATCACCATGCATCATTTGACCTGTACATACGTGTGTGCCCGTATGCACATATGTACACCCGCCGCCACCGTACCCTGGTATCCATCCACCGCTGCATGTCAACAGCGGCTGCTGCATGCAGCAGACCACCCGCATGTGTGACATGCATACGCCCGCCTGGCGTGTACATGCTCTAAGAAGTCCGATCCCTCGTCGGAGCCATACAATGACCGATTATTATACATGTAAGCAAACCAGGCGTCCTTAACTGCGGACCTACACAACTAATAACTGGGCATAAAAAAGCTCGCTCGGACGGAGCACGCACACTGCAAATTCTTGTAGTTTTGTTTCTTGCATGCAAGCAACATCAGCAAGGAGAACGAACAGAGGACAATAAAGGCAGGAAAGGCTCCACGGGGATGGGCGGCAGGCGCGCACGTGCATACATGGCCCCACGACTAGAATAGCCACAACGCGAACACGCACTCTAGGTTGTAAGGTGTGGAAGATAGACGCGCGGATGATTGGCTGACTGGCTGGACGAGCATTCAGATAGGTGTCAATCGGGGCGCACGCCCCACCTACCGCCATCGACACCACCAGTGTAACCAGCAGCCGCTCACTCGACTGGCTGCTGCCAATAAATGCTCAATCGAGGGCATCCATGCATAAAACGGGTGTGTGCATGGTGTGTGTGGTAGGTAGCCACGCACGCACAGGCTTGCTTCCGTTTGAATGAAACCACGTTGCACCGCCTGCCGACGGACTTGATGATGAACATGCATCCGTCAGCCCGCCGTACATACTAATCGTACAGGGGCTGCTCGCGACTGATCATCCCTTGCATCGAATGATGTCAAGTGCATCCAGCGTAAGTTAAGAGATGAAACTAACTAACGACCGACAATCGATACCGGCTTGCTTCATTACCGGCCAGCGAGTTGCATCCCATAAATCCCGGTGATTTCACCTTGTTAAATGGTGACATCTGGACATACATCTCGATTGACTTACATGACCACCCGACAGCGTCTAGGCGGGCTCGGGGAGGTTGCACTGCGGGCTGCCGGCGTCGTAGTAGACAGCGCCGGTGGAACCACTCACACCCGTCATAACGACCACATCAATCGGCACCTGGATCCGTGCCATACCGTTCACCATCGTCCACTCCGCAGCCTCCTTGAGCCCGAAGGACTTGGCGTTCTCGATGACCGACGAGAAGGGCCTGCATGTCATTTATAGCAGAATCCAGGTGGCCACGGCCGCATCGCAGGCGGGCGGGATTAGAAGAGCCGCGGCAGGGATTAGGAGGCCCGCGGGGCCGGCAGGGGGCCGGGGCAAGTGCGATGAATAATGTATGTTGTTACAGGGTGGTTAACTTCGCCAGCGGCCCCCTTTCCCGGGGCAGTCCCTGCTCTCCCCTGCTAGAGGGGCACCCTAATCCGTCACCCCATCCGACTTCAGAATGTATTCGTTGGGTTCGGCAACTCACCACCAGCATCCAACCAAATCTAGCGGATCAACGGCGCATCAACTTAGTTCCTGGTCAGCTCGCAAGTTGATATTATCACGTCCTACACCGTCCATAAGATGGGGGGCCACCTCCCATTTCATCACTCCTCAAACACCCGAGGAGCCGGCAGGCGGATTTGAACCCGGGTCGTATAATGTATGGATGCTATGGAGAAGGTTTAGCTCACTTGGCATCTCCTTTAGTACTCTTTGCCTGATGTTACATTGGTGCGAATTGCTAGGAGGTGGGAACTCCCCGGATCGGTCTGGTTACGAGCATAACGCACTCCAATCATGACCGGAGGTGGATGCCCGGGTGGGCGGGAAGTATACCAGCTGAGTAAAAATGAAGACCTCCATTTCAGACGGGGACTGACAATAAAAATGCCACAATAATAAAGAAATGCGCATTCCGACGGGAAATCAAATAACCATTATCCTATGGATATGCCCGGAGGACGTTCGCTCGAGGGGGGAGGAATATAAGAAGGGTCAGCTCCCTTGGCATCTCCCAGAGGACTCTTTGCCTGGTGTTACACTCTCGTAGTCCGAGAGCGACGGAATGTGATGATACGATTGATGGCTGCGCGCGAGCCAGATGAAATGAATGAATCCATCAGCTTATTAAAGAGAATCAGCAGAAAGGAGAGCGAGGAAGTAAGCTGACGGCCAGCAGAAGGAAGCTGGTGGGCTAGCTGTTGCACCGATCTAAGTAGCCCGGCTGAAACGCCCCGCCCGCCCGCCCGCCCACACACGCAGAGCTTGGGAAAGAATATCTCGCAACGCACTTACTGGGCACGGTAGTAGTGTGGGTTGCTGTCAGCCCACTTCTTCCAGACCCTGCTCGATTTGATCGAATAGGAGGAAGCAGCAGCAGCAGCAGCAGATCGATCGATCGATCGATCGATGGAGCGGGCAGGCAGGCACAGCGGGTTAGGGCTGGCGTGGTGGAACGAGTGAGGTGAAGAGCACCGTACGTTGTACCTACATATGCCGCTGGACACTAGACGTACCGCTGGTGCTTGATTATAGGCAAGTGAGCCCAACAAGCAAATGAACCACCCCATGCGTCAACTGATGGTTGCTACGGCGGGGGGCCTGTTGCATGCATGCACGGGGATGACCCCCCACTCCTGCACGCGTGTGTACGTGTAACCCCGCCCTGTGCTTGATGAGACGCGCGGCGGCGGCTGAACGCATCCTGCGGATCTGTAGCATACCTATCAAGATGGCTGCGTGCGTGCGTGCGGGTGAACATTTCAACATGTATAGTATTCCTTCTCTCACGCACCTGGCGTCGTCGTGGTGGAAGCCGACATAGCCGTTGATGGTCAGCCAGGCGCTCTGAATGCCCCTCACATTGGCGACCGTCATCCGCGTTAACAGATGCGCGCACTTCTGGGTGGGATTGGTCGCGGGGTTCATCTGGACAGAGTAACTCTGTACTGTGGTCGCTGTCTCGGTGTTCGCCACGGCTGTGCCGTCAGACCAGGAAAAGCTGGACGAAGCTGAGAACGAGATGCCAGCCTGAAATCCCCCCAGATCGTTTTTAAATCCGAACAAAATTTGGACCTGTGGCGCAGGGTTGAAGTAGTCCTAAGCAGTCGGCGTACGGAGCAATGACGGAACGAATGAACCACGCATAGCGAGGGTGGCGAAGCACCAACTGACAGGTTGCAATCTGACGAAGCCGCTCCTTGGCACCGGTCATGTCACAGCCGGCAGCGGCGCGCGCATCGGTGCAAGACGTACAGTGAACATGAAATATTTGCACGGACGATGAGCAGCACTTGTAATGACTGACATGTATTTTTGTGGGCACACATAATGTTCTCCCCCCCCCGTTTTAGTATTGGCTTGCATGTACCACTTTGCCGCAAGTAATTGGCATGGCTGTCGGGAACTGGCTAGGTACGTACGATGGCCCAAACCTACCCTGTTCGTAACTCCGAAGCTCTGGGTTGAAGTTCGGCTCCGAGTGATGATTGTTGACTGGTACGACTGTGTATGCAAGCGGGCAGGCAGGTCGGATCTGAAAACACACACACGAATTTCATTACCCGGAAAGACTGCTAAATATGTCGCACGCATGCACGCACACATGCACATGATGACCAGGAACTAAGTTGAGGCGCCGTTAATCCGCTAGATTTGGTTGGATGCTGGTGGTGAGTTGCTGAACCCAACGAATACATTCTGAAGTCGGACGGGGTGAAAGGATTAGGGTGGCCCCCCTCTAGCAAGGGAGAGCAGGGAACTGCCTCCAAGGGAAAGGGGGCCGCTGGTGAAGCTTAACCACCCTGTAACGACATAAATGATGGACACCCTAGCTGCACGTACATACACGTGCACGCAAAGTAATCATTTGGCATGCAGTAGTTCTAACTAGCTGTCTGTAAACACCATCACCCACATGTGCGTCGATCTGGCATCTGTAGTTGAAGGGCCTGTACGGGCACACCACCAGCATGGAGGTTACGTTGTCCAGCCCCGACGCCGTTCTGTTCCACACCGGCTCGTCCAGGCCGGTGGCGATCTGCGCCGGCTGCAGCCGCAGGAACCAGTCGCGCCACCAGTCGGTGTTGCCGTCCCAGTCGACCTCGCAATCGTCTCCGCCGCTCTGGGCCCTGCAGTAGGCACTCATTAGAGCTTTCAGGCGCTGCATGAACACTGGCGAGATAGACCCCTCAAAAGCAGACACCGACGCGCCCCGGGTGTCGAGCTTTGCGGCCGTCTGCTGATCACTGTAACTACTGGTCTGCTGCTGTGCCGCCCTAGCTGCAATGTTGACCGATGACTCATCAAGCATGTAGGGCGCGGTCGTCGTCGTCGTCGTCGTCGTCGTTACGGCGGCAGACGACTTCTCGTATGCGGCCGTGGCGGTGGAGACGGCGTCGATGGCAGTGTCCACAGACGCCATCCGGCTACTGACAGTCGAACGCAGGGGTGGCGGTGGCGGGGACGAACGCAGGGGTGGCGGTGGCGGGGACGAACGCAGGGGTGGCGGTGGCGGGGACGAACGCAGGGGTGGAGGTGGCAGGGACGAACGCAGGGGTGGCGGTGGCGGGGACGAACGCAGGGGTGGCGGTGGCGGGGACGAACGCAGGGGTGGCGGTGGCGGGGACGAACGCAGGGGTGGCGGTGGCGGGGACGAACGCAGGGGTGGCGGCGGGGATGGCTTGGCGTTCTCGTTAGGAGCAGGGTCTGCCGTGCGGGCTGAGGCAGACGTGCAAGTGAGACTGTTGAGGCTGTAACGCTGCGGGTTGACGTATCCGTAGGCCGGTAGTTGCATGGAGAGGGTGATGGGCGTGGTCACACGCACGGTGGTGCCGATGACGGTGAATGCATTCGCCCTGGCGATCTGCGCGGCCTTGGCGGTGTTCACGATATACCACAGCGGGTGGTACAGATATTTAAAATCAGTCCTCCCGTTGTTGATGTTCTTCCAGGCTCGCCAGTCGTTTTGCCGCGTGCCCACACCGCCAGAGAACTCCAGGTACACCTCTGCAGAGTTAAGGGGAGGGGAGTGCAGGAGAGCGGAGCGGAGCAGCAGCAGCAGCAGGACATAAAGATGGAGCGGCACCGCTGGGTATCATATTTGCACGGTTACACGCTAGGGATTCTGTCGTAGGAGGACGCACGGCTGTCAGTATTATTATTTAGTGCAAGAAAAATAGTGGTGGCACGCAGCTAGCAACAGGGAGCAAGTGGTCGAGCGAACGTGCCCAGCCAGCTGTCTGGCGCCATCGATGCACTCACCAAGCTTGCCGACCGCGGCAGTGCGACCCAGAGATATGGTGAGGGAGGAGCAGTACGTGTCATTTGGACTAGTGGTCACTGAAGCCGTTGCCCCCTGTTACATGCATGTATACCGATGCGACAGAATAATTAAAAAGCGTGGCCAACCGGTGGGGTGAGCATCTGATGGAAGGACGGAACGCGAATGGAAGGAAATGGAACGCAATGAACCCGGTTTGTTTGGTAGGTTGTTTGGTAGGTGGGCCGACAGAAAGCACGCAAATCCACTTCACAATGCTGAGAGCGGGCGGGCGTGCGCTATCGCTATCGTGTGAGGCAGATAGACATGTCGATGTTGCACGATACGTTGTTGCTGGGCCCATGCATGGAAAGCATCTGTGTACGATACCGCGCGGAGACGTAAGTACCGTGGATTGCCCGATGATTCTCGCCGTGGACTCGGAGGCTGTGGAACTGCGGTTGCATATATGCGGACGCGGGGCGGACAGCAGAGTGTGAGAGTGTGATTGAAGTACATCAGGCACATATCCAGCTGGATGGCCAGCCCTACCTCCAGTCGCCCGCATGTATGTGCATTTAGAAAGAACACACATCGACCACATTGCACATGCTGTTATTATTATAAGTTTAATACTGCTGCTGGCTCTACTCCTTCGGGTCTGGAGCCCACTGTAACATACTACTACTACTACTACTACTACACTACTACCGACCGCAGTCGCCCAGCCGCACCGCCGTACTACCTGAACGCGAAGTCGAAGGTCGACTCCATCGTGGCCTCCATGGCGCCGAAGGTCGCCGTGACCTTGGTGACTACACCCGCCTTGAACTGGTCGCTGTAGCCCCTCGCCTGAGTCACCGCCACCGAGGACGCGGTCTCCAGCCGGGGCGAGAAGGTGCAGACGCCCTCGCTGGTGGGGTTGGGCCGGCAGGTCAGCACGCTGCGCGAGGCCGCCCTGGGCGCGTCCGAGGCGGGGGTGAGCACCATCTGGGTGTTGCAGGTGTTGTTGCTGAGTGACGGAAAATCGTAGAAGTACTCCTGATACCAATTCGTAGTCCCCATGAAATCGATTTCATCACTGCGGGCGATCGAGCGAGACAGGTAATAACAAGCGATGACGATCAAGCATAAATGGAGCTCGAGACACAAACATGCCCACACCTGTAGCAGCCGGTACACAGTACGACGCTATAAATACGCGCGTAGCGCGACCACCAGCATCTCGAGAGGCCTTTTCAGCGGCCAGCTGCTACAACACCCAAGCGCGTGCTTGATGTGGGGGATGTGGGACAGGGGGTTCATATCTTCACCCTGGGCCCGTTACCTGACAGACCCTGCCTTTTCCAGTATTTCGGGGCACCCTCATCCAGTCACCCCCTAGCCAACTCGTCAGTGAAACCCTCAGGTTCCGCACCCACCACCATCCAACGGGTTCAACCAGATCGACGATGGCTCAACTCCATTTCTGGTCAGATCTCAGGCACATTCTTACCCTTCCACCATCGGAAGGATTTTCCTCCTTGGCAAGTCTCGATCCCGGAACCTTCGGGGTCATCGGTGTGTCCCTTACCAGTAGTGCCTGACCTATGCATGCAGGACGCACAAATGCTTCATTATGCGACTTACTATCTGCACGCAGGGTAGCGCAGCTCACCACTTGGCGCCGCTGTTGGAGTAACAGTAGTCCTGCACCAGGTCAGTGAGCGCCTGAATGGCGCTTCCAGGGTAGAACTGGGTTGGCTGGGCCGGCGGGCCACCCGCACATGCGCCTGCGTGCACGTGAAAGCGGGTGCATGCGTGCACACTCAGTTCCTTCCTGGAAAACCGCTAAGAAGCAGGCCAGCAGATACGAATACATTTAGGTCCACGTAAATATCACACCGCACTTGCACCCATCCTTGCTTCATGTGATGGATGTACGATGCATGTACATGCGCTGTACACACGTACGTGTGTGGATGATGCGGGCCCCATCACCGGTTGGCGACCCCTGCTGATATTGACCTAAGGACATGACCTCCAGCAGCAACCTCGCTCATCACTCATTCATGCACCCAAGCATGCCCGGCGATAGATGGGCCACCGGGCAGGCCACCGAGCGAGCAGAAGGCTGTACCTAACCTCGTAGACCACACGAAAGATGATGCGCACAAGCACGCGCTATCTATGCTGGCGTCGGTGCTCAGTCACAATTCCCACACGCGCATTACTACTTGGGAGTGCTATTCGTCGCACCGATGGTGGCCCATAGACGTACCTGAGTACGCGCCCATGCTGCTCCTCTTCACCCATAGACACAAACCCCCATACGGCATAGCGGGCGTGGCGCTGCGCTTTGCCCAGCCCTGGCTGTTGAAGGCGACGCAGCTGGGGTTTCGGTTGCAGGCGGCCAACGCGCTGGAGGCGGAGCCGTAGTTGCCGATGTCGTCACCGTCTCGGTCAATGTCGCGGTACGCGATGTAGCCGGTGTACGCCGTACAAGCTGATGCCGGCCGTAGCCGCAGGGCATAAGCAGCAGCGTTAGTCAGGCAGGGGGCCGACAGAAAGATTAGCGCCACTGATTGAACAGGGCACGCGGGCCCCCCGCCCCGCCCCGTCCCCCGCATTCCCCTCATACACACACGCACGTTCAACTTGATAGATTGCACACCCGCGTACTTTGTGGATAGCTGTTGAACGAACGGTTGAGGTTTTCGTCGTCTGGAGCGAGGTCGGGAAACAAGCAGCGAAGCTTACCTGTCGCAAGGTGACGCCGCGACGCGGGGACTACCTCCCCCTCAGCAACAACAATGGCAGCGCCGCCATCCGCCACCGCTGTCACTTCCGCCCCGGCCGCCGAGGCTTCCTCGCTGGTGGCCGTGGTGTCGACCCCAGAAGATGACGCAAGCACGGTCCGGACGCCGACGAAGGAGAGGCACATCAGCGCCGCGGCGGCAGCCACAAGCAGGGTTGCCTTACCGCTGTATGGGGAAACGGCCGCCCGCCGTCGTCGCTGCATGCGCTGCCGGTGCACCTGATGGTGCGGGCCTGGACTGGTGAGATTGGTCGGGAATGTACGCTCCATCCTCTGCCTGTCAGCTTGATGATAAGGAGCCGCCGCAGCTTCGGTGCCTGACGACGTATGGCCACGATCTTCTGCGATCTGTACGTTGCCGTGACGTGGTGGTAGGGACACGCAGTCATCAGCAATGTGCGTGGGTGCGTGCATACCGCCGCCCACATAAGACATAGCAGTACACCTGGTTCGTGGGACTTTCTTACGTCGTGCTCTATACTATGTATGTGCAGCAAACGCGATGAAAGTATCTGACGAAGAGGCAGTGATCGGGCACACGCATGTGCGTTCATCCAGGGACAGGGGCAGCAGGCATAAACAATTACGAGCAAACTGCACTGCACCACGAAGTGCTGGCGGGCCAACGACGATCATCAGGCAGGCGGGGTCCACGCGTTTTCATACGCCGTGTATGCCGTATTCTTTGAAGCTTGATTGGCTTGCCAAGGCTTTGTTAGCTCGGTACGTTTCCATTTTATGGACTGTCCTCATCCATACGTTGAAACGTTGGTTACAGCTTTACTGGCGATTACATTGCCAGGCATTGCCGCCATTGCTAAGGAGGCATCCCGCAAAAGCTATAAAAGTCACCTAACGTAGCGGACAAAGATTGACCAGTGGCCGCTTCCACACCTCAAGTTGTGACGACGCCGTTACAGCTACGAAGGGAGTTTCCCGGCTTGGAACCCGCAACACGGTAACGCCTGGAGCTTTATATTTCGCCAACTTCACTTCGGCCTTGCGTGTCGTCACCCGCTCCTAACAAGCGCTGAGGACTGGCACTCTGGCAGACGAGGGATATATCCGTGCAAGCAAGAGAAACTCCTTGCACATTGCAAATGAAAATGCTGCGGCTTACTGCGAGCGAGGAAACGCAGTCGAAAAGCTCGCGATGATCTCGTAATGCTAAGTAGGCGGCAGTTGGATTTTGATCGCCCGCCCGACCGTCAGGGCGATGGATTCAGGGCGCTGACCTGGAGCGGCCTGGTTCTCTTTCAGCTGGATTCAGGGCGATGACCTGGATCCAGTTCGCGCGCACTTTTCGATACAGGGCGATGGGTGATGTACAACAAAGGTCACATTTGGCAAGAGAAATTGTGTTCTTTTGCCAAGTGTGATCTTTTTTGTACGCCATGGGTGACGTACAACAAAGGTTACACCTGGCAAGAGAAATCATGTTTTCTTGTACGTCACCCATGACGTACAACAAAGGTCACACTTGGCAAGAGAATGCGATTGTTACAGTGGACCCCGAACGGGTCGAGTGCAGCGCCCCTAGGAACGCCTCCTAGAACAAAATTTCTCTTGCCAAGTGGGTCCTTTGTTGTACGTCATCCATCGCGCTGTATCGAAAAGTGCGCGCGAACTGGATCCAGCTGGACCTGCAGGTCATCGCCCTGCTGCTGAATCCATCGCCCTGACGGCCGGGCGGGGCAAGACCCCGCGTCCTCTTGACCCCTCTTACATGCCGTGCAACTTCTGTGCAGCTGTTTATTTCGGAACGAAGATTCTCCGACACGTATGCCTGACTAAGTTTGACGCCACTCGCACCATGGCAGAGATCATGGTCAGGACGGCCTTGCTTGCAATCCGGTTGCGCGCTCTGAACAGGGGCAACAGAAATATGTGCGGCGATGTCTCGACCGTTTGCTGCTTGGCTGCGGGCTGGGTTGTAGACTAGTTGCGCCCGCCTTCTGTACGCCTGCTCGACTTTAAATAATCCGTACGCATATGCCTACAACAAGCAAGATGACACCTTTGTATATCTCATTCGAGTTTACTAACAAATTAATTGTTTCTGGAAATAAAGGTTTCCAGCGTATCTATTAAGGTTAAGGGACCGTGTTAGGGAGTACGTAAACTCGCTCATGGGAGAATACCTCGGGAAACGGAGTAGTAGCACACCAAACATTCGCACCCTATACACCACAGCAGAATGGTAGGGCAGAGCGATTAAATTGGTCGTTAATGGGGAAAGTTCAATGTCTGCTAGTCGAAAGCAGACTTCTTACTAAGGCCTGGGCACTTGCAGTTCAGGCAGCCTGATACTTGCTTAATCGTTCACTTGTTCATGGGCTCAAGGGCACTCCATCTGGGCGCGGTGGGGACGACCTGATATGAGTATATTCCGCTAAGGTGGGATGCACTTCCGCTATCCACTGACAAATATACTACCAACGATTTTCAAGGATGGAAATTGTATTCTTTGGATCGGCCCTAAACTTTGTAAGGACAGTAAAGGAAGTACAATCGCGATCGATCTCGACCAGGGTGAGACAGCCCGATCGGGTCCCGACAGGAATGGCACTTGTCCTGAAAATCCCGACAGGCTTTGAAAATGCTTTCGGGCGGACCCGACGAAAAAGGGGGAAAATGCCAAACGGCCATCGGGAGCCCCCGTCGGGGCCCGGAGGGCCCCCGTCGGGGGACCCGACATGGTTAGGGGCGCTAGGACCACCCGATCGGGTGCCGTGGGTCGTCGGTGCTGGTGCTGGTGCTCAATCTGGATGTGCTGCTCCTGTTTATCCGCAGCCAAGGCGCCCAGTGGGATAACGTGCCTGCCTTGCTTAAGGCCCTATCGTGTGCCCAGACTGTGGCAATGCTCTTCCTCATGTGCGATCTGCTGAAGCCCATGAGTGTTTTGAGCCAGCAGTTTCAGTCTGATTCGAAGTTGGTGCCGCACAAGGTTTCCATTCTAGTAAATACCGCGCGAAGCAAGTTATCACGAGTAACCGAGAGCGAGGCTGAGGGCCAGCTACGCAATGCCGAGGCCCTTTGTGGGTTTCTGCGCGCCTTCAGTACCCGAGGCAATTGGCATGCGAAGAAGGGCAAGAAGATTCCGTTAGAGGGCGAAATAGATCTCGACGAGTTGGAGGACTTTGCGATTGAGTTTGTTGCTGAGGTCTGTTCGCATCTTGATGAGCGGTTTGTGGAGTCAGAAGTGTTAGATGCTTTCAAAATCTTCGATCCCAAATCATATCAGGGGATGCCGAAGGACAAAGTAAAGTCCTTTGGCAAAGAAGAGTTCAGGGTGCTGCTTAAGAATTTCTGTAGCAAGTCGCAGGCAAATCAGTTATTTGAGCTCACTGATAAGAATCTCCCTCGGGTCCTTGAGGAGTGGGAGGTTGCTAAGGCCGTTATGTACGAGTATAGCAACCAGAATGAATGGGCGGAGTGCAGCCATTTGTGGTGCCACATTGTTAAGGAGCACCTGTCGTCCATGCCCAACGTCGTGCAGTTTATCTTCGTCGCTATGGTTGTGCCGCTGCAAACGGCCTGTGTGGAGCGCGGCTTTTCCTTGCACCGCATCATCAAGGATCGTCTCCGGAACCGCTTGCGTGTGGTTACCATTGACTCCTTGATGCGAGTGCGGCTACTTGCTCAGCCTTTTGAGGTCATGGATTTCAGCGATGCATCTGATGTTTACGCATCTGGCACTGCGGCCCCCACCCTAAAAACCCTTATGGGGGTTTCACGCACTACAGTGCCATGCTTGGATAGTGATGTTGAGAGCGATGAGGAGCCGGCTGATGAGGGGGAAGATGACGAAGAGGAGGCCAGCGAGGCATTTATGAGTGATGGGGATCCAGAACTGTCCAGTGAGTCTGGCAGTGAGGTTGCCGATGAGGGGGAGATGTTCCTCTCCAGTCCTACGGTGTCTAAGGGTCTCCTTGAAGAGCTCGGGTTGTGATGCTCACAGGCAGACGTGCAGGCGTGCATGTGTTGCTGTGTGTGTGTTTGTTCGTGCATATCAGAACTGTGAACTGCAAACTGAGAACTGGAAACTGCGCATATAAAATACGAATAAATGTAATTTCAAGCGGCACACAGCGAAATTTCGTTCTTGCGTCACCCGACAGGTTTTGGGATGGGCTATCGGGGCACCAGACAGAAATTGAAAAAAAAAAAAGAAATTGAAAGATATGCAAAAACGCTATCGGGCGGGGCCGACGGGCATGGGAAGGGGAAAACCGGCAACCCGACCATTTTAGGAAGGTCCTGTCTAACCCTGATCTCGACTCGCAAGCCCCAAACGCACGTACACAAGAAGTGGAATAAACCACTGAAATATTTCCCGTTCTAAGGAATACACAATGGTTATGCCCTGTGAAGAGGGAGCTGGGCATGCCATGTGTAAGATTATCAATGCCATGAGTAACAATATCGCAAGCGTACTGGGCTTATTAGGGAGCACGGTGTACGCACCGCTGCAAACCGTGACCCGCAATTTGCGGCGCCGCAGCACTTGCAGAAGAGTACAGTTATCCAGAAGGTGCACCAATGAACCTAGGCTGGATACCTGATGATCAGCCACACGTGGGACATGCCGACATTTAAGGACCACTGGGCCAGCCGAACTCCGGATCTCGACGCGCTCTCCTGCATACGGGCTTTTATTATCCGAACTAGGTCATGTGAATAACATCTGGTCATAAACGCGTACTTGATCCGGATGTTAGGTGCTCCGTATGCGTCGCAGGGTGGGCGCAGAACCAGAGAACACAATTTCCATTCTTGAAAATCGTTGGTAGTACATTTGTCAATGGTTAGCGGAAGTGCATCCCACGGTGGGATTTTTTTTCCGTTTAGGGCGGGTCTCAAATAATTCTAACCTATGTAACAAAGTTGCTAGGGTCGTCGTAATTTATTCCTTAAGTGTGAGGCTCTGGGGGGGGCTATGCCCCCCCCAGACCCCCCCGATAAGTTACAACTCCCCTCATAGACCAAGAGTCACGCACTGAGTTGGCGCGTTTTCGTTCGTGTGTGCACTCTTCGTGCACATGCGGCCGCACCGCATTCACTGTTGTTATCGTTGTTGTCGAGCTGATTAGGCGATAGCTTGCGCTTATGCTGATTACCCTCCATGGAGGGCAGGGGTAATGGCGCCCGTGTCATCGGTCGCCGCTGGCAGCAACACCATTGTCGATGCATTACCGACAATAGCACCGCCATCCCAAACGCCTGTATCAGGAAAATTTCCAGGCTTATTTTGCTGTTTTGGTGTCTGTCCGACGTTCGAGTCGTTGCCTTTTGCGTGTTTGGCTATGTGAGAACCGGTCACACATTCTGCTATGCCGCGTTGACTCACGGGCTTGACCTTCTTACGGCCCCTCATATCTATTCTATGATTGACTAGGGGGGCGGCCTTTCAAAGCCGAAAAGGGGCTCGGCCCCGGTGCAGCCACTTGACCCCCGTTTGATTCGCAGGGAAGTCCGTACGGCATAAGAGTGCCAGCACAAGAACGCCGCCGCGTTTGGAGTACAGACTTATTATTGAAATCCTCAAACAATAAAGGTCGGCAGACTTGCTACAGCGGTGTAGACCTGTCTGGATCATCGCAAGCACGCAGCCGCCATAGCATTATCAGTACTCTATTTACTGAACCGTTAGCCTTCTCGTGATGCGGCAATCCGTAGAATGACCTACACACAAAGCAGGAGTGTCATTGCGGCAACGTGTGTTGCCGCTGCTGCGCCAAATCCATGAGTCGGGACTGCCCGATAGGTAGGTGGTACTACCGTTGCATCCATGTTCGACGCCGGCCCATCTGCTGGCTGGCTGGCAGTTCAAGGCGCGCCAAAGTGCTTGTGCTTCATGGACCAATTGTTGTCCGCTCCCAGCCAGAACGCATTCGGGCATCGTTCCAATTGAACATTATGAAGTCGGAATGCAGCGGCAAAGCTGATGGTGTGTCGCAAAGGCACACTTCATTTGAACTTGGATTGAATGAATGAAGAAGAGAATAAGAAGGACAACAATCAAACAGGCACGAGCGAGACGCCAGGAGGGAGGTGGTTGCCATGGGTTGGTCTAAAGTTGCCGAGCATGAAGGAACCAACCCATCATGCCGTTTGCTTATGAATCTATAATGTAAGGGACATGCAACGACGTCAGAGGCAAGGCTGCGGCGTGAGGGGAAGTCAAACTCGAAGCCATCGAAAGCTATCTTCGCGCTCCGAAGTATATAAATGTTCTCCTTTGGCCAATCAATAAAGAAATCATGCAGCTTTTACATGCAATCCTTAGTGGAGTGAGATATGGAAATTGATCTCACCCTGGACAGCCATCTTCGCCCACAGATATATCTGAATTCATTCCCTTGGTCTATCAATAGAGATTTAGAATAGCTTTCCGACGCAATTTAAAGGGGGGCGAGATATGAAAGTTAATATGTTAGGAAGCTAGCTTCGCCCACACCTTTATCCGAATTAATTCCTTTGGTCCGTCGATAGAGAGTTAAAATAGCTTTCAATCGCAATTTTAATCGGGGCGAAATAGGATGAAATGTTACACCATGACTGACGGACTGACAGCAGTGAATCTACCCCCCCAATGGCGCCTCGCGCCCGGGGCCTCGCCCAAAAATGCCTGTTTATTCCTGTTTATTCCTTATTTGCCACATTGATTACGATGTGTAAGGTGGAGTGCATGCAACTATGGTAGCGTTTGGTATATATAACATCAGCTGCAAGATATGGACCATGTGTTATTACAAGTTACGTGTGTTCGTTTTTGTCATTTGCTTTCGTCTTTCGTCTTCCGCTTCCGTCTCTTGCCGTACATTTGCTGTGAGTTGCTGTAACGTGTGCGTTAGTGTTGAGACTTGCTGCATGATGGCTAGGCACGATTAATAGGATTAATTTTTGCAGAATTATGGATGTCTAAATCATGTTTTAATATGGTGGGCTACGTATTAGCTGTGCGCAAGTGTGACGGTGAGGAGTTGCTGCAACGTGTGAGATAGTGAGACTTGCTGCATGTAACCGTCTGTCTTTTGCTCGGCCACTACTTCGCAGTGCTCATCTGCACTTCATAAACTACCATTATTCCTCTCTTTCCTCTCTTTCCTCTCTTTCCTCTCTTTCCTCTCTTTCCTCTCTTTCCTCTCCCTCTTCTCCCACCTCTCCCTCCTCTCCCTCTCCCTAGCATTAATAGTCCAGTATTAAAAGTTGAGCAGGCGTACAAAAGGCAGGCGCAACTATGGCCCCAGCATGCAATTGGTTGCAAGCAGCAAACGGTGGAGACATCGCCGCACATATTTCTGTTGCCCCTGTTCAGAGCGCGCAATCGGATTGCAAGCAAGGCCGTCCTGACCATGATCTCTGCCATGGTGCGAGTGGCGTCAAACATAGTCAGGCATACGTGTCGGAGAATCTTCGTTCCCGAAATCAACAGCTGCACAGAAGTTGCACGGCATGCAAGAGGGGTCAAGAGCACGGGCAAAATCCAGCTCCCGCCTATTTAGCATTACGAGATCATCGCGAGCTTTCCTCGCTCGCAGTGATAAAGCCGCAGCATTTTCATTTGCAATGTGCAAAAGGAGTTTCCTTGTGCACGGATATATCCCTCGTCTGCCAGTGTGCCAGTCCTCAGCGCTTGTTGGGAGTGGGTGACGACACGCAAGGCCGAAGTGAAGTTGGCGAAATATAAAGCTCCAGGCGTAACCGTGTTGCGGGTTCCAAGCCGGGAAACTCCCTTCGTAGCTGTAGCGGCGTCGTCATAACTTGAGGTGCGGAAGCGGCCACTGGTCAATCTTTGTCCCCTACAACGGATCCAGTGTTCGATTCCACGAACGTAATGGGTCAAGATTCCGCCCACAATGCCAAAGGATGTGCCAAAACACACCCCTGTCGCAGCAACACCCACTGCCATCAACGTCGTCACCCCCACCACAGCACAGCCACTATCTGGACGCCGCCGACACAACACTATCACAAGCAGCAAAGATGGTACCAACATATTACTCTCTGGCGCCTGACTACTGAGAACGTTCTTTGTCCCAGTAACACACATTGAACGACACCCCAGAATTACCATATGGACGCGGCGGTTTTGGAGGAGTCACAGGTAAGCAGCAGGCGCTACATACGGTGGTGCAGGCGGTGAACAGCGACCAGACCGTTCTGCAGGACTATCGATCGATATCAGCAAGGATGAGGCATGAGAGCCGTTTGAAGTAATTGGACTGCCCCAGCGCGGCTAAACAGCGTGAGCCACAATAATCCCATTCTATCAGTGGTGGTTGGACGCCTGTGTTGTCTACAAACAGTTACGCTGGGAGATGAAAAGGGTCAACATTTCAAACAAGTTATGTCGGCTTCCTTGAAGCCGGACAAAGGGCGGGGCCCCCCTGCATCCGTACAGGCCGGTAGCTAGCGCGGCAGTTGTTACAATCTATGGGTAGTGTCAACGTGGTGGGAGCTGTGCTTGTCGCAGCAGTGCTGATGCTGTGGGAGGTGGGATGCTTGTCAGAGCACGGGAGGCAGGAAGCCCGGCGGAAGGTCACCACGCCATTCGGTGGGCAGTAGGGTGGGCAGAGGCCCGCAGGCACCATAGTCACCTAGAACCTACCGTCACGCTGATCCTGTAACCCGCCTCCCGAACCGCCCCGTACACATGATACCTCGGACATAGCCTCGTCACCTACGTTGGGGACATTCCAGCCTCCTCAAGCGCGGGGGATCTACACACCGACCTCTACAGTTCGAAATACCAAGGGGTTACCCAGAGGGCATGGCACTAGTACTGGTGTAACGAACGAAGCTGGGAAACCCCTTGTTGCACAAGCGAGGGCAGCACTGGCCGCACTGGCCGATATTGTCCGCAGGCCCCCGAGAACACCGGTGGGAAACGAAACGCCCTATGGATGGAACCCCCCCCCCGCCGTGGGTCGGGAAACGCATCCTCCACATGAACGAGCGAGTGGAGGGGGGGGCATGGAAATTCGCGGAGGTGCGACGACCTCATATAGACGCGGAACGCAGAAACACCCACCTCGAGTTCCCACCTCGAGTTCCCACCTCGAGTTCCCACCTCGAGTTCCCACCTCGAGTTCCCACCTCGAGTTCCCACCTCGAGTTCCCAGCCCGCGTCCCGCTTCGCCAGGACGCCAGAGCATCGGGCATCTACACAGTGATGGATCAGTGCAAAAATCCCAGCGTGATGACAAAGAAATACAAATCGTAGGAGCTGCCGCGGTTGATGCACACACCGACACGAGCATCCACATTGATGTCAACGCTGGAACCAATGGATGCCAGATCATCACAAGATGCGAACTGAGCGCATGTAATGCGCTCAATTCACCAAGGACTGAAATTCGACAAAGAATGGAGCTCGAAGCGGTACCGCTCACAAACTGGACCGACTCAGCAAAGATGATACACCACCCGCATAAACTCCAACTCAGTAAGCACAGGGACATCCTAACGAACACCGTACGGCTCCTCAAAACAAGAGCAGTAAGTGGACTTCAAACTAAGATACTGAAGGTGACACCGACGCGCACTGATATAAAGTACAGCGAGGCAGTAGATGCAGCAGCAGTGCCGGCCGCACGGGCGACCACACCCTGAATTGGCGTACGGGGCGACATGGACGAGTCAAACGCAGTCTCGATTACTGGTACGGACAGCTGTAGAACAATAAACTCGCTAGGCGATACGGGGTACCCCTGGTGGGCAAGAAAAGGGCCATGTACGCACAGACCCAGCAGCCAGCAGCAGCACCTTGCCCGTTAAGCGGGGACCCTGACTCGGGGGGGACATGTACTAGGAGGATGCACCCATCCCAACATGACGGCGCTGTTTATTAAAAGGCACAACTCAGCAGTCCGACTGGTTGTGAGGGAGCTGCCAACCGGAAGGTACGGAGGCTGCTATATGATTATGGACGCAGGGGCCCCGCGCATCAGCCATCCCCGACTATTGTGCTGGTACACATGCATCCATCCCGGATGTTGGATGGCCCCCCAACACGCCGGAGGCAGACCGGAGAGAAAAAATGAGACCCGATATCCTCTTCATACCCTGAGGCCTATCCCTTGAGGAAACCAAGCCAGACAGGGTACGCTGGGCCAGGCGAGCAGTCCGAGTACACCGTGCACATCGTTGAGATAGATAGGATAGATACCTCCGACACACAAGCCATACAGCCAAACAGCGCGCCAAAGCACAGCAGCACGCAAAACTGGCGTAGGTCATTAATTTAGCAAATAAAGTGAATAAGCTGGCATAAGTAAACCTTTTGCATCTCTCTTCTTTTATTTAATCCATGAGGTGCACTTTCTACAAAACTGGCAAATGAACTGGAGGACACTGGCTGCCGTTGTGGAGGGCCCTGCACGTCGAGGCGCTGGAGCTCCGCTGCGAGACCCACGGCTGCATCAGCCGCAGCCTCGTTGGCGAGGCCAAAGTTGCCGGTGTTTCCTACAGGTCAAACGGGTAGTGAGGTTGTGCCAGCGGAGATCTACGTAGCAGGTTTTGGGTTTGGGTAGGGTTGGTAATCATGTCCATGTGCCCTTGTGGTGCGACATGTCAGGGTGGAAAATTGTGGTGCGACCTACCGCGAGGGTCGATGGGATGGCACCATCTTCACTGAAGTCTTCGAGCTCCATTTTAGATTAAAAACCTTTCCAGCTAGCTTTCTTACCTTGTCCAATGTACTCGTTGACTTCTCCCAAACAAAGCGTTACGCTAGATCCAGTTACTCTATATCTACCCACCTTATACAGGCTGCGCCATGCGTAAGTCTGTATCAAGACAGGCTACTTTTGGGGAGTCACTCCGGAACCAACAGCTGCAGCTCCAGTTCTACAGCTCGGAGCTTGCTACCTTTCATAGAGGCGCAGCTTTGTATTCGGCATTCAGTTGTCCGTTCAATTATGGTACCGCTTTCGGATGCATTGAACCTGGAACCCGCCGTACTCCTGCTTGACTTGTTACACGAGACTGTATCCGCCCCGTGCTTGCAGGCTTTCCTCTGTACTCATATTTGTTTCCGTGGTGTTTTGTGAGTTATCTGTTCCTGATAGAGGTATTGCAAGTAGACTACTGGCCGCCGGCCCAGTTTGAAGAAAGCGACAAAGATGGCGACGAAAGTACAAAAGATCATGACCCAACCCATCAACCTGATGTTTCGCTTCTTACAGAGCAAACAAAAGGTGCAGATTTGGCTCTACGACCAGGCGGACTTGCGAGTAGAGGGCCGCATCATTGGCTTCGACGAATACATGAACTTGGTGCTGGATGAGGCAGAGGAGGTGTCCATGAAGCGCAAGAACCGCAAGACGTTGGGGCGGATCTTGTTGAAGGGCGACAACATTACGCTTATACAGACAACGGGACGATAAGGGGCTAAGGCCTCAGAGGCAGCGGGTATGACATTAGGGCAACGACTTGACTTTAGACGACAGGATGGGTTTCGGTGATGGCGGTGACATCTTGACCTCCTTTCAGTATGGATGCACCATTGCCTTTGTGACGTTGACGACAATAGATGACTCGGTGCAGGTATGTTGGCATGTTACCTTGGAGCCCAGGTTAGCCAAGGGGCAAAGGTTCTCCGGAGTACGACATTACTTTGCTGGGAGTTGCCTGGTGGCGCGTCCACCTAAAGGCTGGTCGGCGGTGTGGTCGAGATTGGGGCATGTCGGTAGAGTGGCTTGCATTCCCAGCCGCGGCGTTGTCGCGCCAGCATCAGGTGGTAGAGGACGGTAGGCGTAGGCGATCATGACCTACTCGACGCGTCCTCGTGTCCATCATGGCCTACTCCATGCGAGCAACATCAGGGTTACCCCAACAGCCGCGTAACACAAGTTACGGGACATCGGGTGGGACTGTTGTGACGGGTGTGAACCGGCAGAGCTGCGGCGGAGTGTGCATTAACATTCAGGGCTTTCAGGTTCTTTCGGTCCGAGTTCCCGGCTGGCAGACAACGGGTTGGTTCAGACGTTTGAAATGAAACGCGATGTGGGTCAACGTTGCTTGCTTGGGACGAAGTTTGGCGGCTGTTTTCTTGTTTGTTAATAATTGTTTCCTGCGCGCTCAACCTGAAGCGTTCGGGGCGAGGAGGGGATGAACTAATAGAGGGTTTCATGATGAGAAGAAGGAAAGGAGGGCGTTTAGGGTTCGACGCGTCTGTGTTGGGAACACTCAGTGGAGCTTACACGCTGGTAAGAAAGCACTGACTGTTAGCCCTGGACGCGGCCTGGTTGTCTGCTTGGCCTTGGAAGTCTGATGTTACGCGTTGCTTGCCGCGGCGTTCACAGCGTTTTAAAACCCTGGGTCTTGGATGTGTTTTGGATTTGGATTCTTCCTGCACTCGGACTTGCTTGGCTTGTGGTTATCTCTCGCATCCGATGACGACGCGCGTGTTGGGGACTTGTTGTCTCAAAGCTCATGTAATCCTCAATTCCCCCCTTAAATGGTCATGCGCCCGTTAGGAAAACTTATTTTTTGGTGGTGATGCACCCTTGCATTTTCAGAAGTCGAGCACATGATACCTTAGTGCCGCTATGGTACCGTTCCTTTGGAAATGTAGGCCCCAAATCGTTATCCGCGTATGAGAGCGCGGGTGGCATGAGTTCAACCTGCTCTTCTCTTGTTGGCTCTTGTGATACACGCATTGATCAATGCCCACCGAAACGCACGAAAAAGCCAAAGCGAACACACCACCAAGGATGTCAAGGAAGTAGCCCGTACCTCCAGAGGCGCCTGACGAGAGCGCTCATTCCAGGCCAGAAATCTAAGTCGGGACCCTGCTGGGGAGAGGTCCTGTTGGGATTAATCCCAAGGTTAGGGATACGCGCGAAAATTTCATTCTGCTTTCTTCGTGCGTCGTGCGTGGGAATACTCTGCACAAAACAGGTAAGGCCTTTAAGATGCACAGCGGCTCTACCTGTTGTCTGTGTATGTGTGTGGTCGGGGGGCCGAGGATAAACAATTTTTTGCCAGACGCACACGAGTTGCAGTGAGTGGATGGGCGCAAATCCGAGCTCAAAGGCTGCTTTTTCTTGTGCTTCAATGGACTAAAAATGTTTAAGATCCGCACCACCATGTAAGCACAGAGAAGGTGAAAAGAAAAAGGAAAGAGTAGCATGCGGCCATAGCCAGTCCAAACAAATGCCATACTGCCGCGCCGCAGCGCTGCCAACACTTGCAAAGAGACACGGCCTGTTTTCGATACAGGCACATACACATAGACACACATACATACACACCTGCAAGTACACACAAACCGATAAGAGCTATCACCCATTTACACGTAGTAAACGTTTTGCTGTCTCGCCCCTTCCATAACACAATATACGCGCACATGATGCATCGACACACACACACACACACACACACGCACAGATGGACGGGCGATGTGAAGGAGAATGAGAGGTAGAATGCGTGTGCGCGCGCTGGGAAAGACACGGTCGCCCAGCCAAACAAAGCATACGCCACCAACGTTCTCCGCTCTGAAATCCGTAGTAAAACGCCAAGACTGGGCCCAAACTGCTATACTCTCCACAACAGTATGAAACTATGAATAGGTATTGAGCCCCGTCAGATAATTAGTTAATTAGTTAGTTACCAAGTTAGCGAGTAAGTTAGTTAATCAATTCGTTAGTTACTACGGGACCAAGCAGCTCCATGGGAGAGACATACAACGGGGGCCATAATACTCGGGCAAAGTCGAACACCAGCTGCAGTAGCAGCAGCAGCAGCAGCAGCAAAAGTTACGTTCCGTTTCGAGGGCGGGAGATCCCCCGAATGCGCGGGTGTGGATATGATACATATCGAAAAACGCGCAGAAAGAGAGAACACCATACACACTCGGCAGCTGCGACCCGTGGGTCTGTGGCGTCCATTATGACAAAAAGAGTGTACAAAACCCCACCATTACAACCATCCATCAGTCAGGAGGCCTGCTCCGCCCTGACCAACCAAAACGTTCCAGAGAACAAAACCACAACCCCCGCCTTTTTATTTACGCTTACCTAATCTAATTCAGTACATTCTCTTATCATCTGGAGATGGGATGACATTCTTCTCTCAATACCGAAAGAGGGTGATGTTGTCAGTTGCGTTCTTCCGTACCGTCGCCTTAAAGCAGCTCTCCCTAGCAAACCTCTTCCAACTCTCCCTCCTCCCCGTCAACCTGTTCACCTAGAGGACCCTTCCCCCGCCTTCACATGCGTTTGCCAGAAGGTGTAGCGCATACACATACTTACGCACACACACACACACACACGCACACACATCCGCCGCGTAAAAGTTGCTATTTTCCACGTGCCATCCTCCACCTCCCTTCCCCCCTCCTCCGTCCCCCCCTCCTCCTCCTCCAAGTTCCTGTCCAAGGACCGGATTGCCAAAGCGCATCACACGCATCGGCAGGTTTCCCCTCTCAGGCAAGATATACAAACAAACAAACAAACGGGTTTGTTGGAGGAGACGACGGCGCCGAAACGAAACACGTCGGGAAATTCTCTTACCGTCCGCCCCACCAACACGCCCCCCATATACACAGAGCAGACTGGGTCATGACGCTGTGTGGGTTGTCCCGGTGTGGTGCTGCCCCGTCGGTGAACTGCCTCCCTAGCCCCGTCGGTGAACTGGTAGCTGCTAGCCTAGTCCGTGCCCGGCCCCCGGCCCCCGTCGCTTGCGCGCGAGAGGTGTTTAGCGCGAGTTTCTTGAACCCTGCCTGGTCCCCCGCAACGGAGAATCGGTTGAAAGGCCGGGTGAGCTCTGTATTAGGGCCTTGTGCCTTAGTAGGGAGGGGTAGCGTATACAAGGGTTTCCTCTGTCTTAGTGAACCCTCATCCCAAGAGCCCGATCAGGCCGGGGATGGAGAGGGGAGTCTTGTTTCGTGTTTGAGGCTCCGTGCGCGACAACTCGCGTGACGCCGCCTTGACTCGTGACAACGCGTGCGCGTGCGACGCCGCCTACCCCGGGGGGGGGAGGAGAACGGAGCTAGCCGACCTGCGGCTCTCGGCTATGCTTAGGAGGGGACAGAGGCCCCTCTCCCGTCCGCGGGAGAGAGCTTAGGCGGTCTTTCCGTTGGGACTGGGCAGCAGCCCCTGGCCAGTGTCAGGCCCGGTCAGACATGTGTGACCTTCACATACACACACACGCACACACACAAACACAATCGCACACAGACACACACGCACACAAACACAGCTGCCGCATCAATTAGGAGCCTCTACGGGTGTCATTCAGAGTCGCCTCTACGGCTCGTCGCGATAAGGCCCCGCCCCGTCTGGAGCGCTGAAGTGGGCGAAGGCGCCGAGCCCGGAAGCGCTAAAAGAGCAACGAGGGGCAGGAGAGAGGTGGGTGAGAGAGACCTCAGCGTTTGTGGCGCCCTAGTCCCCCCTCACCCCCTCACTTCCCACCTCTTTCCTGTTCCTTCCACAACACACGCCACACAAGGCCGGTGATACAGTTCTTCCCTCGACCGATAAGAGGTCGCCTTCGCCTTCGCCGCCCGCCGACCACTCTCCTGAAGTGGTGGCGGTTAGTACGACGGGGTTGGTGGCCGCGACTTTGTGGCCGCGACTATGTAGACGAACAAACAACGAGAAAACGCACACATACCTTGAAAACGACAAAAACGCGTTGGTGCCGTAAAAAGGTTTTTTTACACACAAAATATGCAAAATCACACATGCTACATTTTACTTCGCACAGATAGGTAGTTTGGTAGTTAGGTAGTTAGATAGATACACGCCACAGGAGTACACATTCTTCACATTCCACTAAACTCCCATTCAACAACACAAAGCTCCTCTTTCATGACAACTCTCAACCCACGACCTCCACCTCCCGCAACTCATCACAGATGAACATTCGCTGCGGCGACGACAAAAAAATCCCACGTCGAGGGTGTTGTGTAGTGGATATTGGGTGGTGGTTTCTTCCCGCAGTTGATCATGATTTTCCCCCTTCCCTCATCGCCTCCTCTAATCATCATCATCATCATCATCCTCTGCGGGTTCCGGACAAATGTCAATGACTTTTCTAAAGCCACACAGTGTAACGGCGCTACGCAAAACGCTTAAAAAAACGCAAACTTGACGGCCCCGACAGACTGATAGACAGACAACAATTCAAAAACGTCCGTTCCATAAATCGTCCTCGTCAGTTCCTGACCGCGATGACGCCGACTCGATCCATTTAAACAGCAAATGTCTTTTCCCCCCCGCGAAAAGAGGGAAAAAAACACCCTACCCACAATTTTTCCCCGATGACAATTTTGACTTGGCGCTGTTATCGTTTCGTGATATTCTTGCAACAACCGTGTTATGCTGTCTGTCTGTCTGTCTGTCTGTCTGTCTGTCTATCTGTCTGTCTGTGTGCATGCATGTTGTGTATTTCTGGGATGGTAAAACGGTACCAAACTTCTCGAAAACGAGAAGGAGGTGTGTCTGGTAAGCACATCTGTACGTATCTATGTATGTATCTATGTATGTAGGTGCGTCGCGGTACGGGCTAAGTCCTCTATCACCCCAGCAAAGGGAGCTGAGACCAAGGCAGTAAATAAAGCAGTATGTACGGGAATATGTACGGCAGTCAGGGGAAAATGGGAGGAATCCCCGAGGAGAAACGCCGCCTGCACTGCGCGTGGGTATGTGAATGCCTTGTGTGTGTGCGTGTATGCATGTATGTATTTGTATGTGTGTATTGCGTGCATGTGCGTGTGCGTGTGCGTGTGCGTGTGGTTGCTCCACCACATGTCGCTGGCACACGTCCGAAACAATCGCACCGGCGCCTCCCCCTCTTTCCCCCCTCCTCCCCATCTCTCCCCCTCTCACGCACATACATACATACACACAGCCACAGCCGCAGTTTCCATACCCACAAAAGCCAATGAACCCACCAGCCGCCCACTCTAACCCCGCAACCCCAGCAAACCTCACGTCCGTACCGGTCTCCACTCCGAGCACTTCATTCGTCGCCAGAAGATATCATCAAAACCCTAAGAAAAACGAACACGTCTCTCCTTCATCAACAACTCAACACGGCGCATTCAATCCAAATAAGACTGGGACCATAACAACATTGAGTCGTTGCCGTCTCATCAAATCATCAAGGCGGCGGCAGGCCAGCTGGTAAATAGCTATTTAGCTATTTCAAGGGCAGAATAGCAAACGTCCCATGAAGGCGGCAATGTGCCAGCTCCGCCATGCCCATGCCCATGTCCTCACGACGAGTACCTCCAAGTACCTCCAAAGCTCACATCTAGAGATGACGGCATTTGAAATACGGCTCATGAATATTGGCGATGGTGACTCGCTGGCTTGCTGACGGTGTGCCCGAAACTCCTCCCCCCCCCCGCCCTTCCTTTCCCAGCTAACTGTGACTGTGACAAGAAAAAGAAGAAGAAGAAGAAGTGAAAAGTGAGACACGCGCACATGCGACACCAAAAACCATCCTACCCACCCATCCCAACCCCCGCAAACCCCCGCAAACGCCCACACACGGTCGAGGCCCGGCCCCCAGGGGGCCCCCCCAGCCAGCCAGCCAGCCAGCCAGCCAGCCAGCCAGCCAACAAGCAGAAGCCAAGTTAGGCAACACCTAACCTGGCGTGCTAAATTAGGCAACCCGCCTGCGCAACACAGAGCTCCATACCATACACATACCGGATATGTATTTACATAAAATACATTAATTTATTACATCATTCCGGTTATGGAATCGAGGGCCTTACGTGCGAGGTTTACGCAGCCCATCAGATCCCAGAGACCGCCCTCGTAGCCGAGTGCGCCGATCCTGGCCGCCGCCACCACCGCCGCCGGCTCGATTCCAGGGGCGGACACAGCCAGGTTGAAGGCACGTGATTCGTTGGCGGCTCGGCGCCAGGCGTCAGCGGCCGCAGCACATGTCTACAAATGATGAGCAAAGAGCGAGGCCCGCGTGTGATGTGATGTGATGTGATTTGATTTGAAGTAATGCGGAAAGAAAGGTAATTTGGTTTTTTTACACCCCTCTTCAACATAGGTTATTAAATCCTGCTGTTTGATTTTTATAATTATTCCCGTTTGGCGCCCTTTTAAAACAACACCGATTTCGGTCGCTGGTCACCAGTAACTGCACCTCTCGCCAAATTAAATCAAATCAAACCAAACCAAATTGAAAATGTAATGTGTGCGTGTGTGTGTGCGTGTGTGTCTCTAAATTGGCTGCATGCACTGTTACCCTTGTTGCTGCTGTTACTCTTGTTAGCTGCTGTTGCTGTTCCTGATGGTGACCAGCCCAAAGGACGTACCTGTAAGCTCTCCGCCATCTGCTGGATGCTGGCAGTGTAGGTCGAGGCCGTAAGAGCCGCAGCCTCCAGCGTCGACGACGCGCTGTCGGCGGCCGCCGTCGGCGATGTACGGCGTCCACCGCCATCATCACCACCGCCGCCGCCGCCGGGCATCACTGGCCCCGTTCCTGGCTCATGGAGCTTCAAGGCATTGGCCAACGTGTCCTGGTTGACGACCAACCATCTTGTACGGCAGATGGCGGTTAGCTTGAGCGCCAGCAACCGTATCGCCTCCAGTACGAGCAGCTCTGCTGACGGCGCCGGGCCGCTACCGCTGGCGTGAGCGACAGCTGCCGCCAGCGGATTCATCGGCGTGCCTCCGCCACCGCCACCTCCGCCGCCGCCATGCTGAGGTGTACGATTCCCGCCGCCGCCGCCGCCGGCCGCTGCCCCCGGTCCTGACGGCGTCTGCATGCCCAGCGACCTCGCTGAGTTCGTTGGGCTGCCAGGCGCGCCTTTAGCCGGCGGCGGCGTCGCTGGCGTTGCGCTGGCGGCCGCCCTTCCCGACGGCGCCGCCGCCGCCGTCGCCGCCGCTGGCTGCGCAGCCGCCGGTCGCGGCAGCTGCTGCGCCAGACGGTTCGCTTCATGGCTCACGACTGCCAGCATTTGTGCGGCTGCTGAGAGGAGCTCTAGGGAGGCCCTCATGCCCGCCTCCCTCTCCTGACCCGCCTGCTCATGGCCGTACGCGCTTTCCATGCTCTTCAGCGCACTCTTGCGTGGTGAGAGGTTGGGGAGGGAGGAAGTGGAAGGCATATTGTATGACACAACAAACAACAAACAACACATGTATAATTTTATTTAGGTGGTATTATATAGAATATAACATATATTGATATTAATGTAATATTAATATTAATATAGTATTAATAATATGGTCTGGTCTGGGTTGACACTACTGCAATTAGCGGTTTAAGGTCCTGGGTTCGATTCCTGGGGAGACCCCCGAATTAGTCGGGAGCGCGAGATTATGGCTAGCTGCTGAGATGTGGAGTTGAGGTCACAGTTGATGGACCAGATTCGCACGCTAGATTGGTGGCGATTGCCGAACCCTCCGTCTCTTCGGGTGTTCGGGTGAATGGAAGAGGAGGGGTCCCTGAAGGCTGGATCCGCCGCCTTGGACTTACAGTTCGTATGGCGAAGTACAGTGTGGTAGTGGTGGATGGTGCTATAAGGTGATAAATGATCTAGAACTGACAATGTGATAAAGCGGCCCAGAAGCCTCCCACTCTGTAACATTACATTACAATAATATATACCATATGATATATATTATTAATATTTTATTATATCATATATCATATAATATGATATATTTTATCATGCATACACGGTATGGTAGGGCCGGGGCATGCCCCAATGACCGGCCAACCACCAATCATCAAGTACTGTATTCACCAACCGCCAACCACCAACCTGCAAGTACAGCGTCAGCTGTAGTGTAGTCCAACGGTTACCGTTGGCCTCTCGGTTGCTGTCAGCTCGTCGACGCAGTGTACGGCTTTCTTCCGCCAGTGTTTTTATGTGGGCCTTATTGAATAGCGACCGCGGGGACTCCACCATGTAGACGCAAGAGAACTGGAGATGAAGAGGCGTGGCGTGGCGTGACGGGGAGGGGCGGCGTGGTGTGTTTCGTTGTGTTGTGTGTGTTTGTGTGTGTGTGTGTGTGTTTGTGTGTTTGTGTGTTGTGTGTTTGTGTGTGTGTTGCATCCGCTTCTTGTAAAAAACAATCAGCGGTTCCGCCTTAACCAACCAAAAGAGGTTCCAATACGAAAAGGGCTACAGAAGAAAGCAGCGACAGAGGTGCAAACGAACATGCGAGGTAAAGGAAAGGAGAAAGACCACCGTGTTGTGTTGTGTTGTGGTATGCTTCGTGTTTCATAACGTGGCATGACTCCTATGGGATGTCATGCATGACGTGGCATGACGTAGCATGACGTGGCATGACGTAGTTCTCGGGCTAGGCACTCACTGCCCTGCCAGCCACCCACTTCTCCCCTCGGCGGGCTGCAAATGCTCCACCTCCCTCGGCCCCCCTATAACGCACACGTTACCCCCCTCTTAAGCTTAACATACATTACAGAGAGAGAGACAGAGAGGACGGGAGGGAGGGAGGGAGGGAGCGAGCTGTCGGTTTGCACCTCTATGAGATGGTCCTGCACCCCCAAACCCTCAACCCAATCTTTCTTCGTAAACAAAACAAATTTACAAGACGATTAGCAGCCCATCATTAACCGTTGTAACGCAACGCAAACCCCCCCTCAGTCGCCGTCCATGTCTCTACGGACATCCAAGGACATGTAACACGGCGCGCACATGCAACACGCCGTACACCTGACTTTGTCACTAGTCTCAAAGACACCCAGTGAGAGCGATCTTTTAGGCCCCAACATAATAAGAATAACGTAACAATAAGGATAAAAGACAATAAAGGAACGGTGGCGCCAGGAAAGGGCAAACCGGAGGGCATTACCTCCTCCTCCTCCTCATGCTCTTTCTTGACAGTTAAGTTAGTTACCTAAGATTGCGTCACTTGCCTGAATCATGGACAGCGCCAAGAAGCCCAAAAGGTCTGGTTCCATACACGCCGACAGCGGCGCGTCGCCGCCGACGCGTGCCGTACCCGGCGGATCCAGCGTCGCATCAGCATCGTACAGTATGGAAGCTGAAGCCCCCTGCCCGCTGCTCGTTGCCGCGCCGCTGGCACCGCAGGCGACGCCGTCCCGTCCTTGAGACCTAGTGGATTTGGCAGCGGCGGCGGCGGCGGCGGTGGTGGTGGCCGCGGCGCCGCCGCCGACACACCCGCTACTGCCAGCAGGGCCTGCGCCGTCACCGGCTGTGGCGTGCTGTAGCGGCTTGCCTCGGTCCTGTTGCAACTTCGCTAGGGCCCGTTCCGCCTTGCCTTGCAGAGCACCCTGCTGCTGGTGGTGGGAGTGCTGCTTCGGCAGGTTTTGGAGCTGGTGTACGACAGTCGGTGATGCCTGGGAGCCAGGCGGCCGACGACCGCCACCGAGCTGCCGCCCGCCGCCAGGCGCTGCTGCTGCCGCCGCCGCCACCCCGCCCCGCGAGCCGCCTCCCGGGGATGTGGCCCGGCTCGGCTGCGCGCTGCCGGGTGGCGCCGGCACTGCCGCCGGCGACGCTGCGGTGCCACTGCCTCCGCCTCCGCTGCCTCCGCCACCTGTCCGAGCGGGGCTTAGGGCACCCATGGACATCGGGCTGTGAGTGCTGCTGTCAACGGGAGTCGAGGTCGCCGCCGCCGCGGCGGCAGCGGCGGCGGCGGCTGCCGCCGCCGCCGCTGACCGAGCGTGGTGTCGCTGGCCAAACCCGATGCCACCGCCCGCGCCGCGGCGCCCCGGCGCAGCAGCGCCCAGTGCGGACGTTGACGCAGCGGGCAGCTGAGCACGCATCGGTCCTGGAGCTTCCGCCGCCGCCAGCGTCGTCGCCGTCGTCGCCGTCGCCTCCGCCACCGCTGGCGCCGCCGCTCCGGCAGCGGCCACGGCCACCGCCGGCCTATGCTGTCCGGCCTTCGCTGACCCCTCGTTGTCGGAATCATCCAGATCCATGTCGGATCCAGAACCTCCCCTGGAGGCGCTTCCCTCGCGTCCGCACGTCGCGCCGCCGCCGCCGCCGCCGCCAGCTTCACGATGCGGTCGTTTGTAGGGATACACGCTGCCGGCAGATTCCGACTCCAGGTGCGCCTCCGCTGCATTGCGTCGTATGGCGCTGCCGCTGCCGCCATTAGCGGCGGCGACGCTGCCGGAGCCAGCGGCAACGCCGCGCCGGTGCTGTTGCTGCTGTTGTTGTTGCTGTAGCAATTGCGTTGCTGGCGGAAGCTGTAGCGGCTCGGCGGTCAGCCGAGTAGCAGCGGAGACTGAGGCACCAGAGGTGCCGCGATCACCGCGACCAACCCCAGCCGCATCGCGTTGCGCGCGATCTGATGTACGACCGCCACTACGGTCGTGGCACCGGCTGTCGTACCGACATCCGTTGCCATCGTACCGACTCTCGGCGCCGCCGCGCCGGTCGGTAGCAGTAGCACCGCGGGTTCTGTCCCTTTCCCGCTCTCGTTCCCTGCTACTGCGGTCCTTCTCACGCTCCCGCTCGCCTCGTTCCGTACGGCCGCCGTACCGATCTCGTTCCCGATCCCTGTCCCGGACGCGATCATAATGGCCACCCTCCCTGCCGCCGCGGTTTCGCTTGTCGCGCCAGTCCGCCCGGACAGGCGAGCGGCTCCTGCTACGGCTACGGCTACCGCGCCGCCGCGGCGAACGGCTGTAGCGTCGTCTCTCCCGCGACCGAGATCTGGATCTTGACCGAGATGATCTCGCCAAAACACCCTGCTGCTGCAAACCGCCGCCGCCGCCGCCGCCGCCGCGCCGTAACCCCGTTCCCCGTTCCTCCACTGCTGGCCCTCCTGACGAAGCCTCAACGGCCGTCGCCGTCGCCGTCGCCGTCGCCGCCGCCGTCGACCGCTCCCTGCTGCCTCGCATGTCCCGCTCCCGTTCCCTCCCTCGATCGGCCGCTGATTCGCGCTGCTCGGAACGCGAAGGGGACCTGGAGCGTCGTTTGTGGCCCAAGCCCCGCCCCGAAGCACTAGGCAGGTGATGATGGTACGGATCACCGCCGGCAAAGCTCATGACCTGGATATCCGGTACGACATCCTGTAATGACCCGTGGGTCGACAAGTGCGCTACCAGACCCTTTGCCCGCGACAAATCCACCACATGACCCATCTGCGCCGCGTCTGCGGCGGTAGTGGTGTCGCTCGGCACTGTCGCCGCTGCCGCCGCCGCAAGCGGCGGCGGCGGCGGCGGCGGCGGCAGCGGCACGGCGTTAATCGGCGTGCCCCAACGGCGGCGGCGGCCGCCATTGCTACCGCCGCCGCCATCTTCCCCGACTTGCCCTGGCAGGCCTTCTGAAGCCGGGCCACGGCTGCCCGCCACGTCAGCTGCTCCCGTGTCCAAATCCGCATCTTGACCGTCAGCGTCGGCGGCCGCCGCCGATGCTGCTGCTGCTGCTACTGCTACCGCTGCCTCTCCCGCTGCCGCCACCTCCGCGGGCAGCGGTAGCACCACTTCACTCAGCGTCAGTGGCAGCTCGCCTGACTCCACATGCACCATATTCACCTACTGGTCGCGCCGCCGCCAGCGCCGCCGCCAGCGCCGCCGCGGCCCTGCATCAGCAGCAATGACCCAAGGGACGAGGACCGCCCGGCGAGCTGCAGCCCCGGCGCCGCCGCCGCGGCGCCGGCAGCAGCGGCAACGGCGGCGGCTGTCAGGGCCCCCAGGCTCCCGCGAGGTTGCATGACGGAGGACGGAGTTCCGCCCACCGGGGTATCCGCGCTGGGCAGCTCTCCGGACTCGAGTGTCTGTGCCATCACACAACGGAAGTCGTCGGGACGGACAACGGATAAGCAGACGCAGCCCACCGGGCACGTCATGCCGTGTGGAGAAATCCGCCAAAAAAAAGTGGGGGCGAAGCAAGGGTATATGATGTCGAGATGAGGAGTGAGATGACGATGAGCGAGATGATGACGGTATTTTAAGAAAATAGATAAAAAAAATAGAGAGAATTTCAGGGCGTTGGGGACAGTTGAGAGACGGCGATATCCCCTAGTCGAGGATGAATGAGGACGTCCCCAAACGATTGGCGCCGGAGAGAGAGAGCGAGAGGGGGGGTTTCACCAGAGACGTCCACCGAAGAGCGAGAAAGGCCTTAGGCGCTGTATAACGTCCCTTCTCGCAGCTGCGGCGGAGTTACACCCGTTTGGATTTATATTACCAAAGCCACCCAAAGCCATCCCCAACATAACCTTCAAGAACCCACATGCAGACGCCTGCATCAACGACACTGCGCTTTCTTTCTTCTTTCCGCCGCGCGACAGGGCGACAGGGCAGCACAACGGCAATGAATGTGGTGGTGCCTGGGTCTAAAGCTACTAGGACCACATCCCCACACGTGCAGATGGTCAGTTCCATTCCGGGTTCCCCCCCTTTCCAGTTCTACGTCTGGTACACTCTTGCCCTGGCAGCAGCTTCACTCGTCCGTGGTTCGTCTTTTTCCCCGCATCCGGGTTTAAAGTAGTCCACACCTGCAGTGAAATATTGGACGTGCGCTGGCCCACCGAAAGAGCCATAGGCGTCCTCCCGGACGCGGCCACCGACGGCATCGGCGCCCATTCCACGTGTTGTTGCTGCTGCTGCTGCTGCTGCTGTTGCCGTCGCTGCATCACATGCGGATGACCGGCCGCCGCCTCTTCCTCTACCACGGCCGCCGCCTCCGCATCTAGAGCGGCCGCCGCGGCCCCGTCTGCCGCTGCCTCCTTTACAGCCTCCGCTGCCTCCTCTACCGCCGCTGCCTCCGCCGCCGCTGCCTCCTCTACCGCGGCTGCCTCCGCCGCCGCTGCCTCCGCCGCCGCTGCCTCCGCCGCCGCCGTCGTGAATGCCTGGGGATAGCTTGGCGACATTGCCGACAGTGCCACGTCAGCCTGCCCTACAAGCCGGTCTGCGCCTCCGCCAGCTTTCGTCGCAGCGTCCTCTAAACCCTCATCCAGCGCTGAACCACAAATTCCCAAATCCCTCGCCAGCGCGCCAATTCCCCCACACCCTTCTCCACAGACAGGACCCGCTACTCCTGCTACTGCTGCTGCTCCGTCCGTTGCTGCTGCTGCTGCTGCGGCGGCGGCGGCGGCCACAGCATCCGCCATTGCATCCACTGCTAAGGTCTCCCCATCATCCGACGCACCCGCGCCTGGTCGTCGGATGGTCGTCGTCGTCGTCGTTTGTCCTGCAGCAGCAGTCGCCGGGCGCAGCAACGTTCCTGCCATGGCTTCAGACGCGGCGGTACCTGCGGCTCCGCCTGCGTCGCCGTCTCCACCTCTCGTTCCAGCGCCGTCGTCGGCACCAGAGTCCACCCAACCATCCATTAGCTCTACCAACATTGCATCCACCGCGTCATCCGCAGCGTGGCCGTGTTCCCCGCCGCTGGCCGCACATTCCACGGCGACCACGGCGACGGCAGCCGCAGTGGCGGCAGCGGCGGCCGCGATCACTCCATCGCCGGCGCCGCCATCCACGTCCACTCCTCCGCTAGCACCCGTGCCCGCGCACCTCGCACGCACTGGCAGGCTGATATCCAGCGCCGGACTAAGGGCTAAGTGCTTCAGGGTTTCGGAGCTAGCGCGCGCCTGCGGATGGGTGACACGGAAGACCCGTGGGTCAGTGAGATCCTGCGTGGCGGGCATCCCGTTCGTGTCCCCGTCCAGCATGTGCCTGCGAGCAATACTACCAGCCTCCAGGAGGACTCTGCAAAAAGGCCATCTCTGCCCCCAGCAACCATCCCTGCAGTAACAGCACCCACATCCGCCCCCGCGCCCACACCTACGCGCGCATTCGCTGCCAATACACATGCAATGGTACAGCCCTGATCCCGACTTCCCAAAGGTTAGACAAGACCTCCCTTTCATTCCTTTTGGTAAAAATCGCGGCTGCCCTACATTTGAAGGACGCCGGTGCTGGTGCTCCACCCCAGCTGCGTCGTTTGGGGCAGCAGCAGCCGCCCCTGCAGCAGCAACAGCCGGTTCGTCCGCCGCAGGCGCGGCGATGTCGGTGGCGGCGGCAGCGGCGTCGCCATCCCCATAGTCTGCCGACGCGGCGAGCCCGTCAGCGGCGTCTCGCGACCCACGGGTCACAAGCACTCCTGCTGCGTCGCCGCTCCGTGCCAGGGCCCCTTGCACCGCCTCGCCTACGTCCATTTCGTCTGCCCTCGCCATTGTCCCCTCAGGCCGCCTTCGCCGCAGCTCCGTCGCGCCTTCTGGCCGCCCCGTCGTCGCCGCCGTACCGTCTGCTCTCCCCGCCATTGCTACCGCCTCTGCCACTAATGCAGCGCCGCCGCCGCCGCTGGTGTTCTGCATCGTGTCACCCGTCAACCCTTGCATTACCACCTGCCGCGAACAACCAGCTACTGCTACTCCTGTTGCTGCTACTGCCGCACCATCACCATCGCCATCCGCGTCTGTCTCCACGTCCAACGGGCTCGTCCCGCCAGGCGACACGTCATGAACGCCCGGTGGCCCGTGGGTCAGTGGAGCAAGGCCAGGCTGCTTCTTGACCGAACCCGTTTGGCGCCGCTCTTGCTGTTGCTGCTGTGGGTAACGCTGCTGGTATTGCTGGTGATGTTGTTTGTTATCGGGTGAGTGCGTCGTTCGGGAGTCTGTAGGCGAGGGCCCTCCGCTTTCCGGGTCTGTCGCGGCCCCACGAGGGGCGGCGGCTGCCATGGTGGGTCGAGCCCTAGGGTTGGGCCGCGGAATGTTGAACCCCCGCGGGCCCTTGCGCTGCTGGCCAGCTTCCTGTTGTTGTTGCTGGTGGTGCTGCTGCTGCAAAGGTTGCGACTGTTGCTGCTGCTGCGCCGCGTGCGCGTGCGCAAGGGCAGCAGCAGCATTGCGAAGCCGGCCGACACCGCCGTTGGCCTTCTTGTGCTGCAAATGCGGTTGCGGCGGCCGTGCTGCTGCTGCGGCAGCAGAAGCACCGTTGGGCGATGCAGCTGTCTCCATATCCGGCTGCTGGTGCTGGTGCTGCTGTTCCTGGTCCGGCTGCTGTGGCGCCGGTAAGGACTGCTGATCACCTGTGGGTGAAGCTGGGAGCGAGGCGGATATGGGTCATCAGGCCGTGCCAAAGAGATTTCCAGACCACGTTTATGTTGTGTTGCGTGCCGAAAGAAGCATCAATTGAAAAAACGCATAAGAAAGAGTGGGGTCGCAGGGATGATGATGCCATCGCGCTACGCGGCCAGCCAAACCAAAGACTGCTAAGTGATTTGCGGCCCTTGCGGTCGAGGTGAAAACGGGCGCCCAGGCACTGTACATGGGTGCTATGGTATCATGCAGCGCTGCGGGTTGGTGGTATAATGCAGGCTTGGGAGAAGTAAAATTCCAATCGCCGAGTCCCCATTACCTAGGGCCCCACGGCCGTTCTCCACGTGTTCATGGAGCCCCGTATTTGAATATGCCAGAGAAGGAGGCGTTTTGCCGTGCACCAAGGTTTGGCTTTGTGCCATGTGTGGTTGATAACAAGGCAGATGGGCCAGATAACCCGCTGAGGTCAAACTCACGAACGAAGTCGTTAGTTCGTTGATTTGTTAGTTGACGAGTGCGAGGCCCGGGCTGGATGTGCGCGGCCAAGCCTCGCCCATGTAAGGTAAGGATAAAGGGGTATCCAAGGGTGGGCGTTGGGGAGAGGAGGCTAACCAGCAACGTGTCCCCGCGGCTTCGGCTGTTCTCCGCCGGGGGCGGCTACACATCACCTATCGCTTACCATCGCCAGTGGGTGGAGAAGAGACGCCAGGCTCCGCAGTGCTGGGACCTGCGTCGCTGTTGTCCACACGCCGGTTGCTGGTCGCGTCATAGAACGTGCCATAGAAACTGCCATAAGGATTGAGCTTTGCCTGATAGGCGACTTTCGGCCACCTCAAATACGGCGCTAGTCTTTGAACGCGGGCGATCTGCGGGTGATTCATATGCTTCTCTACTCAGTCGGGTGCTGGAGAGGTTAACAGCCGCACAAAGGTTGTCCCGCTGCATGAGCTTCAACACCCCAAGAATAACCCAATAAGGCACGCTGTACGTCGTCAGTCTTTCATAGCGGTACACAGGTGTATCAACAGCAGTTTGATTGTTCAATAGGAACTTCACAAAACGCAAAAAAATTCAACTCACGGTTTGCTGGAGGAGCTCCTCTATGTCTTGACCGTTCGACCGTGACATTCCGTCAATCAAGATCGTGCACACCTAGTGGAGTGTGCAGCCTTAGGCTCCGACCGGCAACACAAGGCCACCCTCCGACCTGGGCCCCAGGCTCATAACGCCGTGCGGCCCTGCTAGGGAATAACAAATTACTCTACATCATATAATTACAAACGTTATTATATTGCCCAGCGGTATCGGGAACAAGGTAACACTAAAGATTTCCATACGAATATTTCCCTCAAGCAAATCCTCGCGGGCAAATGGAGGATTTTGGTGTTAACAGTGTACCTGTGCTAGGGTTATGCAATAGTTGCCGCAGTGATGCCTTACCGGAGAGCTCCCTTGGATGTTCCGTACGCAGGTCTCTCCTAACGAAACGCCATGGAAGCTTTACGGTGTAACATACAACGAGTGTTCTCACGTGATACTTGCGCATTTTTGCTTCTTTATTGTTTGTCACAGCTTGCTTTTCACTGTCCTGTTCTGACCTGTCCTGGTCGCATTGCATGTACACAAGGTACCCGCTTGAGGCAATACTAATTGTTTACGGACAAAAACAACGTCAAACCTGTAATGCGTAGTATGTAACTTTGCTGTTATGCCTGCCAAGGACGAGGAGGAGCTTGAGCTGCGTCAAACCCACGAGGCCCTGAGCATCATACTTTCAGATGACAGTGCCTTTGAGGCTGTTTTGAACACCGTTTTCGAGGACATCGACTTCAAACTTGATGGGTCTGTAGACAATTACGAGTTGGAGCGCTACATCGGGAACGCGTGTGCAGGAATGGGCTTGGCGCCACCTGAAACTGGTCAGATACATGGGATATTCCTTCACCTGGTGGGTCCAGCGCACGTGTGCCTCGCGAGCGCCGTTGTACCCGCACATTCCTATCTCAACCCCTTTGCCAACCGTCATCTATGAACCGTAATATGCCAGCAGCCCACACACCCAGCAGTAAGGGACCACTCTTCCCAAGCTTGTACGTCATTCCTCTGGCCCTATTTCGCTATTTACACAACAACAACTGGCTGGCAGAAGTACCAAAGCCGTGCTCCGTACGAGTTAAAATGCCATGTCGTTGACCGACGCGACGCGACCGTGACTGGGTATCACCAACACCATCCAGTGCATCTTCCTTACGGCCCACTCTCAAACCCTAAGCCTTCAAGGACACATCATTCGCATTGCACATCGCGAACACGCTCCTAACATAGACGAGTCGATTCTAACACAGAAACAAAGCACGCTCTGTGCACTCTAACGTGCGGGGCTCACATGTCTAGACCCATTTGAGGGCCACCAGACGGACCGGACCAAGCGACACTACCAACGTCCGCCGGTTCAGGCCGGTTAACTCTACACACGACCTTGTATAACTATGAATAACTACTAATAACTATTTGTAACTATTTATAACTAACTACAACTAATTGTGACTATTTACAACTAACTTTAACTATTTTTCGAAGCTGTCCAGTGAACGCCCGCACCGTCTCCTTGTACGCCCCCTGGCGCGCTTTCCTTGACGCCCGTCATGCGCCATTTTCCCCAACTCCCTTTTCCAGGACCTCAACAACGACAAGGCTATCAGCCGCGAGGAGTTAGCTGTCTTTTTGCGGCACTTCTTTCAGCAGCAGGTCAAATTCTGCGCCCTGAAGCTGCACCTGCCTAGAGCCCCTTAAGAAGCGCAAGTGACTTTTACCGCGCGGGGGGGAATGAGAGGCTGATGGAAAGGGACAAGTGCTGATTCAGATCACAGACCCGTGGGTCGCTTCAAACGATTCTCTGTTTTCGTATCCTGGGAAGGGAGGGGCAGGAGGAGGGGCACTGCCAGGAGGTGGGGAGTGAGGCAGGGGCAACAGGACAAGCTCTCCAGAAATGAAGGGACATAAAAACCTCTCCACTTACAGTCATCAGCAAAAACCCAAACCCAGCAGCCGCGGAACTGCAGCGTGCATAAACCCCCAAATCCCAATCGCCCTGTGTCGACGTCGATGTCGGAGTCAACGCCCCAAGTGTGGGGCCCTCCGGGTTTTCCCTGGTGGGCTGGAGGGAGAGCTACATACAGCCTTAGCCGTAGCAGTAGCCGTGGCTGTAGCAGCAACCAGTAGCCGCACATTGCGGTTTGTGTCCTCAGATTAGGCTCTCAACGAGCACAGCACTCCTCTGCTGGTGTGCCTGTTATTAACGGCTGTGCATTGGAGGACACATGTAAGGAACGACGAGGAGAATGTTTTTCCAGCTTAAATCTTTTTTTGGATCCACTGTAAAAGGAAAGTCTCTTCAACCAGAATCTCCAAGAGACCCGGGCTGCTAGGCTGCGCACTCGGGACGCTACGCGCTGGGAAAGGAGGGGGAGCCCGAAGTCCCCTATAGCGTGTGGCTTAAGGGAGGCCCCGCCCCCGGTGTTTTGGATACTCCATACGCCATCAGAGACGACTGTGGTGGGTTTTTTAATAAATTTCTGGCTCTTGAAAGTCGCCAGTAGTGGACTGGACCCCAGTACGGTGATTTGACAATCATTACATTGTGCTGATGTGGTGACGATGCTGTGGTTGATGATGACCGCGGCGGTCTTTGATGAGCTTCGGAGGTGTTTGTGAAGGAAGGAGGTGTAGATTGGCCGTTAGATTGTCGAGGCAGCCACATCCATGTGAGGCATGGCGACGTGACGTCGTATGACGTGATGTTGTGTAGTGAAGACATATCACGTGACACCATTCCATATTCATGTCATATCATATCATATGGCATGTCATGATTATGCATATCATATCGTCTGAAAGGGGGTCATAAACTTCCTTTTGTGTCGAATCATTCTGATGTGTTCTGACAGAATGTCAGCCACACGACGGGACGTGAGGGATGCCAAGGAAGCTGCTGCGACATGTAGACATACAAAAACACCCCCGGGGGGAGGAGAACGGAGCTAGTCGACCTGCGGCTCTCGGCTATGCTTAGGAGGGGACAGAGGCCCCTCACGCCCCTCTCCCGTCCGCGGGAGAGAGCTTAGGCGGTCTTTCCGTTGGGACTGGGCAGCAGCCCCTGGCCAGTGTCAGGCCCTGTCAGATATGTGTGACCTTCACACAAGAGTACACGCGCACCCACACAAGCACACACAAGCACATAAACATGCTGTACGCACGCAAGCTTGATGACCTAGATAGGCGACATGTGAAACAAAACCAGGCACATCACAACCCAAGGCCGCGACCCAAATGTTGTCGTACATACCGTTAAGTATCGCAATAGTTGGATGGTTGAAGTGAAAAGCGGGTTAACCGTTAGCATTGACAGTCCAGCAACGCGTTTGTTACTTAGCCTTGCTAACTAGGATTCAGGGCTACTCAAATGGCAGGGGGACAAGCACGATACGCGCGTGCATGGCAATTGCGGGAGTGCGGGGAGTGGGCCGGGTTGCAGCTGTAGCGGCGCCAGCGGTAGCAGCAGCTTGGAACAGCAGCGGCTGAGCGACGCGTGGCGTTTGCCTCAGCCTCCTTGGGTATGCGGGCCAAGAAAAATGTGATAACTCTTCTGCAACAAAAAATACAGCACTGAAACTGATGGGAAAAAAAGCCTTGCGGGGACCCGGACCGGAGTCCATCTTCAGCTCATTCTCCGGAGCATGACCGCAACCTGGTAGGGCACAGTTCAGTCTGCGACACGGTGCTGGTAGTGACAGTGGACAAAAAACGAGTTTAGTTTACAGCGCCGCTTGTTCCATCTCCAGGCTGGTGATCAGGCACTGGGAATCCCATTAGACAACGTGTGTTTGTTTGTTTGTTTGTTTGTGTGTGTGTGTTTGTGTGTGTGTTTGTGTGTGTGTTTGTGTGTGTGTTTGTGTGTGTGTTTGTGTGTGTGTGTTTGTGTGTGTGTTTGTGTGTGTGTTTGTGTGTGTGTTTGTGTTTGTTTGTGTGTGTGTTTGTGTGTGTGTGTGTTTGTGTGTGTGTGTTTGTGTTTGTGTTTGTGTGTGTGTGTGTGCGCGTGTGCGTGTGCGTGTGTGTGTGCGTGTGTGTGCGTGTGCGTGTGTGTGCGTGTTACATGGTTGGGGGTGCGTGAACCCATACCTGTAAAACTACCCATACAAGCCGAAGGTCCAAGGGCAATATTTATACGCCTAAAAGCCACGGAGAACAGGAAACACCGCACATCAGCCCAGACTAGCGTCCAAAAGGGGTAACTGAGTTTCGGCGAGCCCACATACGTTCCAACATACTCGCCAGACGCACTGGTTCCCATTTCATGGCCTCCAACATGCTTAGACAACGGAATGAGGTTCAAGTAAGCGTGTCTTGGTTGTTGATGTTGTTACAGGGTGGTTAAGCTTCACCAGTGGCCTCCTTCCCGAGGCAATTCCCTGCTCTCCCCTGCTAGAGGGGCACCCTAAGCCATTCACCCCATCCGACTTCAGAGTGTACTCTTCGAGTTTGGCAACTCACCACCAGCATCCAATCAAATCTAGCGGATCAACGGCGCCTAAGCTTAGTTCCTGGTCAGCTCGCGAGTTGATTTTATCACGTCCTACACCGTCCACAGGATGGGGGGCCACCTCCCATTTCAACACCTCTCAAACACCCGAGAGATCGGAAGGCTGATTTGAACCCGGGTCGACCGGGAGCAGAAGTCAGGCCTTAACCTCTGCCAGCCGCCTGCCGGTTGTTGTCTTAAATTCGTTAGGTTGATACCTGGGTGCATCGGGGGTTATTCCATTATCTCAATAAATTTATCCTAGTATCTCAATCTACCTCGCGGGAGGCGGCAGAAAATGTCTAGAGTTGTTTCCAGCGTCCATCCCGCGGCCCTCCCGCGGCTCTTCCGCGGTATCACCGTATTGCGACTATTCTGGACGAGCCCAGGGCTTCGGGTGTTCTTGAGGGTCCTGCCTTAGCTTAACTTTACATTATGCTTTCATGATGCAGTTTAAATTTTTGTGCTTTAACCGCGTGGGCCTAGGATCGCCAGAATGAGCCCGACCTTCAGCTAGCTTCCCAACGGGAAGGAAGAGCATGTGCTGACGTGAATTCTGAGTCGCTCTCATGGTGTCTGTTCTTTATACATCTACACCACAGCTTCAATGCTTCCTGCTGCTGCTTATTGCATGGGGGTGCTTATTGCATCATCGCGATAATTGCGCAAATCTGAATTGGAGCGCAAGGGCGGGCGTTTCGCTTGTGACAAATCGCTGGCGGTTGTCTTTTGGACTCGGTCTCGAACGTGTGGAAGCTGTATATGTCGATGATACGGCAGTCGCCGGCGCCGCATGCCATATGCTTCTTTCATCACTCTCAAGTGCAAGATTGTGTGAATTGCCCGACGGGTTTCATGCTTGACAATCTTTAGCGCTAAGGGTGCTCGTACCGGGTACTACCCAGTTGGCGGTTTTTGGATTGCTTGGCCGTACTCAAATGCAGTCGCGAGCTGGGCATATATTCATTGCGCTAGTTAGAGTTTGTCGCTTCCCGGAATTTGCTGTATGAGGCACGACTTCTGCCCTGTGCGTAGCAGGCTTCAATTGGCGCTAGGGCTCGACGGGGAAGGCGGAAGCACTACGAATATGAGGCTTACAGACATGTGAGAAGGATATGCGTGTAATAACCGATGGTTTGCATCGAGTGCTATGCGACATTTGGATATTTGCGACTACAAGGAGTTCGTGATGAGCCTCGAGAGGTTCAAATTTGACACCTAAAATGATCAGACACATATGTTAAATATTAGAATGTTTTTGTACATCGTGTCATGGTGCAATCTGAGTCCCGATAACATGATCGGGCAGCGACCACGTACGACGCCCTGTGCAAGATACTAGTCGAGGCAAAATATACTTGTCTCTTACCATACTTCGTCAATCTTAAGCATACGTTTATCCAGGTATAACCACTGCCAACACATATGGCATTGGACACCAACCCGTTGCGATAGAAGAGGAATGAAATGCGACTAGCAGAACGTGTCAGGTGTTGGTTTCGTAAACTGGGGCCTTCTGATAACGCAGCTGAAGCACATGTAACAACCGTTCAGCAAAGCAACGCTGGAGAAGAGGTCGAAGCTGCAAGCGCAGCGGGAGCAGGCGTGGCGGTTGGGGCCACAAGTGACAGCTCGCACAAGGAGGCATTTGCTCCTCTGCCCCACTCCGTGCAGCCAGCTCAAGAGAAGCTTCCGGTGGCATCAGTTCAGCAGCCACCTCAGGAGGAGCTTCCGGTCACACCAGCTCCACAGCTGGAGCCTCAACCGGCGCAGCAGGCCCCTGCCCAAGTATGTGGGTCATGGGAGCCTTCCGCACGCTGTTGCTTAAAAAGCCGCAGACAGCGGTCCAAAGGTTATCTTCTTTCAAGACAGACCTTTAGCAAAGGACCTTGAATGGTGGCCAGGGCTTCTGCGCTTGCGGAAAGTCGTTCACCGGAGACCGGTAATGTCACGCTTCCCGCTTGTGTGTAGGCGCCAGCGAACGGCACCAGCGGGAAGTCTATGCTTGACACAAGGGACTTCTTTGCTGAGGCAGTTCACGCAGAAGCATATCGATATACAATAAAGGAGGTCATTGGGAAGGGGAGGTGAGCTCTGGTAGCTTTCCTTGCTTCAATTCTCAGCATGGGTGCCTTATAAAAAGACTTGGGGATGTTCTAATACTTTCACTTTGGCATGCAGTTATGGCGTGGTTTGTTCAGCCGTCGATAACTTTACAGGGGAGAAGGTGGCCATTAAAAAGATCACAAACGTCTTTGAACACGTATCAGACGCAACCCGCATCGTCCGGGAAATTAAGCTGCTGCGGCTCCTTAAGCATCCAGGTCGGTCGCAGGTTACCATCAGCTACCTGCCTGGGTTACTTGACTAACTCATTCCTTTGGCGAACTTCAGACATTGTCGACATTAAACACATCATGCTTCCGCCCAGTCCCAAGGAATTTCGGGACATTTACGTGGTTTTCGAACTGCTGGAGACCGATCTTCACCAGGTCAGTTCGCTGACCGCATGGTCCTGAAAGTCGCAGTCGCCCGGAAGGACCACATGGTGCGGTGGAAAAGCCTGATAACGGCATTTCGGTGAAGGATGCCGACCCAGCCATGATCTTGTCTCCTACCTCCACCCCTCTCTCCCTGCGTTCCTAATATCACACAGCCTTCTCCTCTCCCCTTCCCCACGCCATCCCTTACTTGCATCACCCCCCGAGGCCTTTGGCGGGACGGTGTCGGGGCACAAGGGCCCGGGAGGGGAAGAACAGTACCGTTCCAGATCCAACCCCCGGACAAACAAAAACACACACGCCACGCCACGCCGCGTCAACGAACGATGTCGGGCTCACGCTGGCGCACACGGCGACAAAGCCCCCCCTCCCTCTCGACCTCTATCCGTTTCCCCATTTCCCCCCACCACCCTCCTCCCCTCGGCCCCTTCTCCCCCTTCCCAACCGCCTCCCCCATCCCAACCGCCTCCCCCGCAAAAGACCTTCTCGCCATCTGCGTCATCCGCGTCCTCGCTGCTCGAGTTAACTAACTAACGCCCGTAGGGGGGGCCGTAAGGGGGGGCCGTGAACGCAACATCATATGATCCTCACCCAACCCCACCCAGACAACCCAGCCATCAACCTAGCCAACACCTTCCCCTCCCGTCTTAACTCAGCCCTTTCCATTCCCCCCTTACGCACACACACACACACACATTTTCTCCCCTTCATCCCCCTACCGCCTCCCCCAACATTCCCCCTTCCCGCCTCCCCACCTCCTCCTCCCCTACCTCTTCCCTTACCGCCTCCTCCCCCACCTCTTCCCCCCTACCTCCTATTCCAGGTAATCAAGGCCAATGACGACCTGACCCCCGAGCACCACCAATTCTTTCTGTACCAGATGCTGAGGGGGTTGAAGTACATACACTCGGGTGAGTGCATGGCTTTGTGTATGTATGTATGTCGGCGGGTGCTTGTACGGGAGTAGGGGAGTGCACGGTTTATATGCGTGTGTGTATATGGGCCGTGCCGGCGGAGTATGTAGTGGGAGATATAGATAGGGCCGAAAATGTGGGTGGGTGGGTGAGAGCTGTGCAACGGGGGCCTGGGGTGCGGTGGGTTTGCGTGCGCGCGCTTGTGTGTGTGTGGGAAAGGGGGGGGGGAAGGGGGGGGAAACCCCACTCAGTTCTACACTCTTGCCCTGGCAGCACCTTCACTCGTTTGTGGTTCGTCTTTTCCCCACCCCACCCAACCCACGCTTGGTGCTTTTGACGCGAACCGTCAATTCTTTCTCTGACCTATATATATACTAGCATAGGTTAGCGTAGAAACCTAATTCCTATTATTCCGACACACACACACACACATACACACATACACACCGACTACCCGCATTTCCCGCCTCCCCTCTTTTTCCCGCCTACATACCTCCCCCCCCCTCACAGCCAAGGTATTCCACCGGGATCTCAAACCCAAGAACATCCTGGCCAATTCAGACTGTAAACTGAAGATTTGCGGTGGGTGGTAGGGGATGGGTGGTAGTGGGTGGGTGGTAGTGGGTGGGTAGAGAGTATGGAGGGGGTGTTGGGTGTAAAGGGTGGAGGAGGGGGTGGAAGAGGGGGTGAACTTGGGGATGTGACTTGCGTATATGTCTGTGGGGTGTGTGTGTATGGGGGGGGAGAGATTTTGGAGATCTAATTATAGAGTTAGGATGGAAAAATGTCCGGAATTTTAATCCATCTTTGTCGGTGCGTTGGACGCGTGGCCGTTGTTTCCTTTGACTTGTGTATGTGTATAGATTTCCCCCTCCCCTTCCCCCTCCCCTTCCCCCTCCCCTTCCCCCTCCTCTTCCCCCTCCTCTTCCCCCTCCCCCTTTCCTCCTCCTCCGTCTCTCCTCTCTCTCCCCCCACCGACCACCGCACCCACACCCGCACCCGCGCCCATCCCTCATCCCCCTCCTAGACTTTGGTCTCGCCCGCCCCGCCTTCACCGATATGCCCACCACGGTGTTTTGGACGGATTACGTCGCGACGCGGTGGTACCGGGCTCCGGAGCTGTGCGGGTCGTTTTTCGCCAAGTACTCCCCCGCCATTGACATCTGGTCCGTGGGTTGCATCTTTGCGGAGGTACTGCTGGGAAAACCGTTGTTCCCTGGACGAAATGTCGTACATCAGTTGGAACTGATAACGGATTTGTTGGGGACGCCGTCGGGTGAGGTGATTGCCAAGGTGAGTGGGTTGGTGTGTGTGTGTTGATTTTTTTGGTGTGTGGGTGTGTGCGTTTGGGGGGAGGTCCGGGCTTTGGGGAAAAGATGT